CTCACAGGCACCACTGGATGTACAATGCAACCTCCTACCACCACAGCTATGAAGACACGGGCCTCCTATGCATTCATGCCAGTGCAGACCCAAGACAGGTAAAGGCAGCACTGTGTCTGTACAGCCTTCAGCCCTCACTTTTCCACATACACTCCAAAGCAGTACCACAGCTCTGGGGATGCTGGCAGGGGTATTCTTGAAGTCAGCAGGCCAGTGCTTCAGCTCACACCCTTATCTCATGCTCCTTTATAGGTTCGAGAAATGGTGGAAATCATCACCAAGGAATTTATCTTGATGGGCAGAACAGTAGATTTGGTAAGGCCTGGAGCATCCCTTGCACTCTGATCCACCTAAGTCACACACCTGAAGGAGCCACAGGCTGAGCCATTCTCCTGTGGAGCCTCCCCAGTGCTACCCCAAGGACAGTCTGTCCCTCTCAGTGGTTCTTATAGAATGACCATGAGTTAATGCAACATTATACAAGATGAGCAATAATGGGGGGTCTTTTCTAGGCCTTTCTTTGGCTCCATTTTATGTTGGAACCCAAGTTTTTCTTCTTCTTCTTCAAGATGGGATTTCTTTGTGCAGCCCTGGCTGTCCTGGAACTCTGTAGTCAAGGTTGGCCTCGAACTCAGATCCGCTTGCCTCTGCCTCCCGAGTGCTGGGATTAAAGGTGTGGCCACCACACCTGGCTTTAGGTTTTTGGTATCTTAATATTTGGAAGTTTTGTTACTTCCTGGGCCAGAGCTCATAAAAGCAAGGTGATTTTACATGTGTTAGTTACAGGCTGGCACAGCACTGGTGCAGTGGATATGGTGGAGGATGTATTTTGCCTTCCCTTCTTTCTCCATAATGCATGTTTCCTTCAGTGATCACATGCCACATACTGTCTTTTTAAGGAAAAAAGGCAGCATTGTTGAAAAAATTAAAAGCGCGGTGGCAAGGCAAGGTAATGCATAATGCATGCCTGTGATTCCAGCTCTCAGGAAGTGGAGGCAGGAGGTCATGAGTTCAAGGCCAGCCTAAGCTAATGTATAAAACAAACCAAAGTCTGGGGGTATGGCTCAGTGATAGAGAGCTTGCTAGGTATGCTCAAGGCCCTCGGTTCCACCCCCAGCACAGCCAAAATTAATGCTCTGTATTTCTACTAATAACTTGATAAAGTGCTTCCCACTAGTGTCAAATATATTTAAGATAAATTTACAGCATTAATTATTTGCCTGAAATTGTACAAGTGACAAGTACCTTATTTTAAGACAAATTCATAAGAGAGCGAGGCTGACCTCAAACTTGCAGTCCTCCTGCCCCACCTCTTCCTGAATGCTGGCCTTACAGGTGAGTGCTGACATACCCAGCATGATCTTCCCCTGGTGGTCCTGATTCTTTGGTACCATATTTGAAGTCCACACCTGACCAGAGGCTCAGCTGTTGATTCTGCTGCCTCCTCGATAGATCCAGAGCTAGTGGTCTGAGTCCTGTGCTCAGGACTCTGAGCAGCCAGAGTCTTTGTTTCATCAACATCCTCTGTTTTCCTGTGTAGCCAAGTGTGGCTTCCTGATGCATGTTGCTTTCCTGTGGTTCAAACAGGCAGCAGAGATTAGGCATGGGTTTGTCTCGGGTGTGATGAAGGCCTTTCGAGTGCAATTCCTCCCATGCCCAGGAGGTGTACCAGACTGGAAACTAGACGGGGAACAGCATCTCCACTCTGCTCATCTTTGGGCTCATGGAGGCCTTTTTACTGGGACATGTTCAAGTCAGCCCCTCTGCCAGCTTGAGCCAGCTATAAGTGACTGGTGGTGTTTGACTCTCAGGTGGAGCTAGAGCGGGCCAAGACACAGCTGATGTCCATGCTCATGATGAACCTGGAGTCCAGGCCTGTGATCTTCGAGGATGTGGGGAGGCAGGTGTTGGCTACACATTCAAGAAAGCTGCCCCACGAGCTATGCACGCTCATTCGTGAGTACACACTAAAGCCTGGGTTGGGCTATTTGAGACTGTGGAGCAGACAGACAGATGGGTCTGTTGTCTGCCACACCACAAGTTCTGCTTTCCCCAACAGTCTGGCAGGGAAGACCAGGGTAGAACTCAGACTCTTTTCTCAGCTCCATCCTGTACCAGGCTAGGCTCCTTGGCCCTGGGGACTAGGTGGTCCTAGCGGTGGAGCGGTGTCACTGGGTTTGGACACTGCATTGCAGACTCTGCCCTCTGGTTCAGGCAGTGTGTTTCATGGCTTGTGTTTAATTTGCCTGTAATTTTCTGGAAATTGATTGTGAAGCTTGGTACAGAACTGTAGGTGGGGGCAGCTTGGGTACTGTCACCTGTCCTTCAGAAGACACCCTAACCATCTGCCTGGGCTTGGAATCCTGCAGGTCTGGGACAGGTGCTTGTCCTGCCCTCATCTTCTCTAGAAAATGAGCTGACCTGGTTGTGGTTCTAGAGGATGGATTGCTGGGACCCCTTCTGAAGGCTGAGCTGTGTGTGTATGGCTGCCATGAAGGTGTAGCACTGAGGGAGTAGTCTGGAATTTTTTCTTTAGACTGGAAAATAAAGTAGACTTTTGACAGCCCACTGTCTAAACATGAGATTCCTGATGGGGTGACTATGCCCTCATTGTTGGATTATTTAAGTCTCACAGACTCACAGCTCACATTGACCTCAAACTCTAGATCTTTCGGCTTGGCCTTCTGAGTGTGCATCACCCTGCGTGGCTGCCCTTGTGTTTGAAAATAGTTTTTGCTGCTGCTGCTGCTGCTGCTGCTGCTTCGTAGGGGATTTGAGACAGGGTCTTATGTAGCCCAGGCTGGTGTTGGTTTTGATCCTCCTGCCTCTCCCTCCTAAGTGCTGGGATTACAGGTGCACACCATTCCACTCAGCGTGGAAATAGTTTTAAGTCACTGTAGTTCCTCACCTAATGGAAACTTACCCTGACTTGGTCAGCTGAGCTTCCTGGATCTCTCAGCAGCCCCCACACCTCCATCCCCAGTGGTGGAGATGATGTAGATCAGGGCTCCTCAGCCTGCCTTTGTGGCATGCACACACAGCCTGAGATGGAGATGGAGGCTCTTCTCTTCCTCACCGCCTCTTGCTCTCTGTTGTAGGCAATGTGAAGCCAGAAGATATCAAGAGGGTTGCTTCCAAGATGCTCCGTGGGAAGCCTGCTGTGGCCGCCCTGGGTGATTTGACTGACCTCCCCACCTATGAGCATGTCCAGGCAGCGCTGTCTAGCAGAGATGGGCGCCTGCCCAGGACATACCGGCTCTTTCGGTAGAGTCCCTCCAGGGCCCTTAAGGGCAGGCTGCAGAGTGCTTCTGTGCATGTTATTGTTGGTATGGACACTGCATAAGGATGGCTATCTCTGTAAACAGTGCCAACAGTGAGACTCTGAAAACTTGAATGAAAGTTACTGTTGCCACTGTACCCGTGTGTCTCTCAAACACAAGTGGCTTTTCCTCCATCTAATAAGTGTTCTCTACTGGCCACTAGAAATTCTGAAGCAAGGAAGGCTGGGGAATAAGGCACAGGCTTGAGGTCAGATTAGAAGCCCCAGGGCTCCAGGGAGACAAATCATTACAACCTAAAGCACACAGGGCCTCTCCAATGTTAGGATTACAGGCACCACCATACTCATTTTTTCCCCTTTAAATCGGATCTCACAGCATAGCTCTGACTGGCCTGGAACTCATATGTAGACAGCAAGCTGGCCTCAAACTCACAGAGATTCTCCTGCCTCTGTCTCCCAAGTGCTAGGATTATAGGCATGTGCCACTGCACCTGGCCTGCTCATTTTTAAAGCTAAATTTCTCAACAAGCCTGATGGTATTTAACAGCTCCCGTTTTTTGAGATGGGGGTCTTACTTAGCCCTAGCTGGCCTGTAACTCAATATATAGATGAAGCTGGCCTCACAGTAATCTTTTTGCTTTGACCTCAATTACTGGGAGTCCAAGTATGAGTCACTATGCCAGTTGATCTCACAATTATTTACAAAGCCCACTTTCTAGTTTCCCACCTCATTTACACTAGCTTAAATGTTCGCAACTGAAATTCCCTGTCTAAACGTAACGGCTGTCTAAACGGAAATGGTCATCACTGCACTTTGCCCCCTATCTCCAAGACTTGATGTTCTTCATCTCAAGTCAAACTTCAGAAGTTCAGGATTACTTCAGTCTTTTCTAAAGGGCCAGAGAATGACCACAAAGAAGCAACAAAGGCAGTGGAGGCACACGCCTTTAATCCTGCAGGAGGCAGAGGCACGTGGATCTCTGTGAGTTAGAAGTCAGCCTGGTCTACACATAGAAGCCTTGTCTTGAATGCCCCCTCCCCTCCTCTCTCCCCCAAAAAGAAAAGAGAAGCATCAGACCTCACTCAAATCAGGATAGTGGAGGCAGCTGAGGCGGGAAGGTCACAAGTTCCAAGGCAGCCTTTGCGGCATAGGGGGTACAGATGGGGACATTTCAAGCTTCGTTACCACAAGTCTTCCCAATGGGAGTTTGCAGTTCACTGATTAGACATTCTGGCACTTTCCATGTACATTTGAATGGTTTATTGAAGCAGGGAGGCTTGGCTTTGCTGACATCCCACATTCTAGAAGCTGATGCTGGCAAGTTTTATCTCATTTGTTAGCTTGTTTTACCATGGTTCACTGGAGCCCCAAGTAGTCACTTTCTCCAGCTGTTGCCACTTCTGGCTGTGAGCAGGGGCAACACCTAGCAGAAGGACCTGGAATGGGGCTGAGTAGCAAGTGACAGGTGAGACTAAACTTGCTGCCTTTGCCAGGAGGTGGCAGCACAGGCCTTTAATCCCAGCACTGGGGAGGCCAAGGCAGGCAGATCTGTTGAGTTTGAGGCAAGCCTGGTCTACAGAGCAAGATCCAGGACAGCCAGGACTACACAGAGAAACTGTCTTTAAAAAAACAAATTGCTTTTGATTTCCATTGCCCTTTAAAACCCTGGGATGCACGCAGACTGCTGCTTCCAAGGTTCAGTCTTTGGCCAGAGAGAGCTCACGATTGAATATATGCATTTATTTAAAAATATAAATATGGAAAAATAAATTATTTAGAAGACTAGAATGGATGCATGCCCCTAGGTGTCTGTACATTCAAGGCTATGTCGCTCAGGGATGGGGTGAGATTGAAAGCAACGATGAGTTCTAAGCCGTCTTCAAGGAATGAAGCCCAGCAAGGTGCTGCCCTGTGACATCACCTCTAATGCCATTCTGGGGCTAGCAGCACAAAAGCAAATGGTCTGATGCTCCTAAAGCCATGAATTGATAGAGCTGTGGAGAGGAGAGGTCCCTATTCAACTGGAGGTTGGGAGCCAGGGGCCAGGATGTAGAACCCCAAAACTTGCCAAAATGCCTGCTAGGTACACTCCAGAAGTGACTAGCTTTGGCTTCTGAATTCTAGGCCTTGGCAGGTTTTAGGGCCATTGCGAATCTAAGCTAGCAGAGGTTGCCTGATCCCTCTCTGGAAGAGGAAAGGGCTGCTAGGACACAGTTCTGTAACCTGGGCTCTGGCGTGAGAACAGGGACGGGTGAAAAAGCTACAGTGCCAAGGGCAGGAAGCTGGGACTGCTCTGTAGGGAGGGTGTGGGATTGCTCGGGGTGAGCCTCACTGTCTACAGCTTCTGTGTGAGGCTGCTGCTTGGTGTCTGTATGTCCCACTCAGAACAAATCCCTGCCATGTGCCTGTGGGAACATGGCATAAATAACTGAGGCCTGCCCCGAGATAAGCATGGCCTGTCCACAGCCCACTGCTGTCCTGAGGGTTGGGGTCTGTACTGAATGCAGGAGAGCCCCTAGCCATGGTTTATTAGACCCCAACATGGCAAGAGGCACCAAAGAACAAGCCCAATCTCTTTCCAGTGACCTTGGCCCCCAAGCTGCAGTAGCCAGTACTTGTCTGGTAACTTCAAGACACAGTGCACACAGCACTGGAGCTCTGGTTCTTCATTGTTTGCTGTTTTTGAAGTTCTTTTGAAATCCGTCTTTTAATTCCTATCAAGTATAGCTCTCGGTCAAACTTGCCAGCGGCTAATGGGATGCTGTGGAAGAAAGACCTGTTAGAAGAACTGGCTTCAACTTCACCAGCTGCACACCTGCTGAGCCCCATATAGAATGGGCCACGGTCCAACAGTTATGGTTCACACATCTAGGCTGCCCTAGCCTCAGCCACAACCCTGGGTGTGGAAGTGCCAAAAAGGTGAAGTTAATACTGCTCCAGAGGAGCTTGCTCAACCCCGGAGAACCTGAGGTCACAGAACAAACAGCTGCTTCGTGTAACCCCAAAGGTTAGCAACCTGCACATTACAGGGAAACCCTGAGAACTACTAGGACCTAGGCTCAGATGAAAGTGACTTCATATTAAACCTGCCTGCCTGATGTGTTATAGCATGAAACAATATCATGCTCCTCCACACCTAAGCCTGCCACCCCTCCCAGAAAAGTCATCTCATCCAAAATTGGCAAGAGCCCCGAAGCCCAGCCAGCTCTGAGGGGTGAACACAGACTTACTTGTCTCTCCCTGGCCTCACTTTCACCCGGAACAGGCCATACACAGGACGATGGTCTGAAGTCTTGATCCCAGGGCAAGAGGAATACTTCATGGGACAGATGTCACCCTTGTGGCGGCTTTTGTATAAGACTCTGTCCTTCAGAAGAGATGGTGAGGCAGGAGCAGAGACTCATTCCGTTGCAGGTAGCTCTACAGCAAGGTGTGGCCTGCAGCCCTGGCCTAGCTGCGTTTCGGTTAGGGAGCCCTCCTCACTCTTGATCTCTTACTGTTAGGAATCTAAAGACCTATGTGGATAGCATCTGTTCCCTTCTAGCCCTCTGAGAGCAGTGAGGAGCTGCCTTGCCTCGTGGATGTCCCATGGTCCCACCAGGTGCTATCCCGTACCAGAGAGAGCCCAGGGCTGGTGAAAAAGCCAGGCAAGAATGCGTGTGTCTCCTGCCTGTCCTCTCCTAGGACTAGGCAGATGAACTCAGGTGTGAATCCAACTATGGCCTGCTTTTGAGGGATGGATGGCTTAGCTTAGCCCTGTAATACAGAGACTATCCTCCACCCCCAATAAAATGTGAGCATGCAGTCACTGGCCTCAGGCCTGGAGCTGAGTTTTAACTGGCTGGCTGCTGGCTGCTGAGTGCCAGTCCCACACCGTTTGACGTGAGCTATGGTTGGCAGGAGTCCTGAGGCCAGGCAAAGGTTACATACTCACTGTGTAGGAAGGTGTCCTCTGCTTAGAGGTGCTGTCATAGGTGTCCTTCCCAATGTCAAACTTGTAGGATGGGAGAAAGTGGATTTCCGCCTCCTCGAAGCCCTTGAAGATGGACCCTGCAACACAGGAGAGTTCAGGGAGGGTCCTGAACCACACCTAAGGTGCTGCTCCCCAGGCCACTCACCTTTCTTCATCTCCCGGGTGAGCTGGTCATGTTGCAGGAGTGCCAGCACATCCACTTCTGTGTCTTGCTTCAGGAAGGCCTCCACAGCCACTCGTCCACCACTCAGGCGGAAGTTGAAATCCCCAAACCAGAACACCTCATCAAACCGGGTAGTGACATCCCCTGGGCACATGTGGGAGAAGACATTGGTGCTGGCCTCCCCTCACCTGCTTGATCTAACAAGTGGGTGGGCTCTAGGCCAAGTGATAGGTCCTCCTTTGTCTGGATCCCCTTCCCCAAGAATCACAGCAGCTCTCCAGGAAGAGACTAGTGATGGGAACAGCCAAGGTCACTAGCTGCAGAGGATTGGGAAGGCAGCTGTGTGGTCCAGGTGCAGAGGACAGCCCTGATGCACACAGCAGGCTAGCCATATCCTATCAGCTTCTCACAACTCAGCGAGGGCCAGGAAATGGTCCGCAGTGAGGAAGTGTGGAGCTGCAAACCCAGTGGCTATTTCAGTAGTGAGGACTTGTTGATTCCCAAATGGCTTCTGCTAAGCGGCCAGGGGACAAGGGACAGAAACAGTCCTGTGCTGGAGTGCCTTGTGGAGCTGCAACCCTCACCTGCACTGGAGCGGTAGGGGTTTGTGTCGGGCACGTTCCGGGGCAGGGCTAGGGCTTGGATGGTTCTGCTGTAGTCCAGCAGCCGTTCGGCTACCTTCCCATCTCCAGCTATGAGACAAACAGAGTAGACACTTGAGCTTCTGTGAAGAGCCTGCCCCAAAAACTGCCCCCACCCTGACTGTCCCCCACTACTGCCCAGTTTCCTGCTGTGGGGCTCTATCAGCCTCAGACGACTATGGCTGATAGAAGTGAATGTTTTGCATGTCAGGCAGAGCTCCCCATTACTAGCCCAGAGTAACTGGCACCCTACCTGGACAGAGGCCTGTGAGGAAAGGAAGCTGCTCACAAGCCAGTGTCAGGACTGTATGACTGGCTTGGAAACACTTACAGGTGAAGTGAGATGTGATGAAGAGGAAGGAGGTGCCGAAAAAGGTGAAGCTGACGCCCAGGGCCCCCTTGGTCTTGATCTGAGACACGATGCGTGTAGTTACTGTGGAGTACTCGACCTCTGCAGGGCAAGGACAGGGTTCAGGGCCTTCACAGACACAGCTACGGTAGGTGTGCTTACGTGTATTTTCAGACATGGGAACCTCGAAGGCTGGATCCCAGGCACGGAGTGCACATTTGCCTGAGAGGTTGCAGTTTGCTTTGAGGGGTCCTATATGTAGACAGGGTCCACATGTTATTAGAGCCTGCATGTGGAGGTACCTACAGCCCTGAGAGCAGTAGATACAGAAGCAATGGCAAGTGCCAGCAAGATGTCACTCCTGGAACCCTAGAACTCATGGTGGAAGGAGAACTCACTCTTGCAGGTGGTCCTCCGACCTCCACATGTGCTCTGTGGTACACGTGGTACACGCACACATAGGGGAAGAGGGAGGAGTGGTGGGGAGAAGCCCCAAGTGGTACCTACCTGAGCAGAACCAGATGAGGTCCCTGCGGATAAACAGGGACATATACAGGACCCCGTGCGCTGCTGATGACAGCAGCACATACTGAGGGCCCAGTGTCTCCTGCAGGCGTGTTTCCCACTCCCGCCTGTGGGAAGGAGGCAGGTTTTATGAGGGCATGGTCTTTATAGGAAAGGTGGCCACCTCCCCGCATCTGCTGCCCAGAAAGCCCCTGGAAGCATTTCTAGGGGACCCCACAACTGGGCCTCATCTTGTACTGATAAAAATGACAGGCTAATGGCAACTTTGTGCACTGTGGGACCCTCTAGGTTGGCTGCAGCCCCAAGACCTTGATCTGATGGTATGTGCAGACTTCCAATCCCACCTACGAGCCACGTGAGTTGTCAGAGATCTGTGGGCTGGCAGGGGTGGGCCCCATCACTCCTTGGGGACTCTGAGGACAGGCTCCCTTTCCCAGAGCATACAGGCCAAGGAACCCCATGAGCTGCAGTGAGGAGTACATAGCTGTGGGACTACTTCCCAGGGAAACCAGTCTGGATGCCACAGGATAGATGGCCAAACTGCAGCAGCCCAGAGCCTCTGGATGAACCAGGCATCTTTGCTGCTGTGTGTCCTTGGCCAACTGCAGACCCAGCCTGAAACACTACTGATTTTAGTTGTGCTCATCTCAGTGGGGCATCTAGCCCACACTGTTTCCGGTCCGTACGAGGCCTCAGGTCCCACCCCTCCGGCTTATAGTCTTGTCTCCGTGAACTGTCCACACAGGACACTAGAGGCTCCAATGGTGGAGGCTGTGTGGTGCCTCACCTGTCAGAGCAGCCCTCCTGAACTCCAATGACATACAAGTCCTGAGTATAGTCGGCCTCAGTGGGGAGCAGAAACTCATCCAGGCTCGCTGGGAGCTCCTGCAGTGAAGAGCCACAAAATAGTCAAGGCCACTAGGCTCCCTCAGGTCTGGGGGCAGAAGCTGAAGAGCAAGGCCCTGCACAGTCATCTGGAGGTGGTCACAGGATAGCCTCTTTTCAAAGAGAAGTTGTGCATAGCTGTGGATTTGGTCTCCCAGGGAACCTTGACATGTCAGATACTTTGTTCCCTTGCCACCTCCCAGCCTGGGGCCCTTCTTTACCAGGTACCTTAGATTCTGCTGCATGCTGCCAGGTTTGACTATCCTCCCAGGTGCATGCCCAACCCTGGTCCCTCATGAGGACTCACAGAGATGGAGGTAGCCTACTTGCCTATCTTTATGCCTGTGTTGTGACCAGTGGACTGTGCTGGGGCCTTTTGGGATAGGTTTCCCAAGGACATGGAGTCTAGCTGCCTCTGCCTTACCTCACTGTGACCCCTCTCACCTTCTGGCCCTGCATGTTCCAGGTAGCCACAAAGAGAGCCATGTTCCGGTCTGGGAAGTACCTGGCCAGCTCATCTGCTCCTAGCAGGGCCCCACTGGCCATAAGACTTCCCTCCAGATAGCTCCTGCAAAAAGAAACAAGTGAGCAGCCAGCCTCAGTGACACCAAAGCAACCCAGAAGTTCCTTCACTCAGGACAGGTGCCTTTGGAGCCACTCTATCCGAAGGAATCAGTCCTACACGCCACAGGGCCTACAAGCTATGTGAGCCCGGAGAGCAACACTGACCATACCAGGTATCAGTGTCACCCCTGGAGTTGGGAATTTCTTCAGCTGGAGTGCAGCACCACTTTCATGATAACCCAGCATGGCACTCATCTCCCTCTGGTTTCAATCTCTCTCCAGATTTCAGTGGAATGAAGCCATACCTGTCAAGCTGAGATACAGTTCTAACAGTGTGATGAATCTCTTGATCTGTGCAGGACATGTGTGCACCATGTGCTACAGGGCCTGCCCAACCATCCTGTACAGAGATAGAGGACATACACAGTCCTGTAGGTGCCGGGGTCCCTGTCCTGTCACTCAGCTCCATCACCAAAGCACAGAAGTGCGAAAGCCCTTACAGAGAAACGGGCTTGGAGAGAAATGGGTGTGGTTGTGTGCTCTGAAAGATGTGTTTATAAGGGTCATGAAATCTGAATCTAAGGGTTGGAGAGATGGACAGGCTAAGTCCGTGGATAGAGACAGACAGTTAAGGGCACAGGCTGCTCTTCCTGAGGACCTGGGTTCAATTCTCAGCACCCCCATGGCAGCTCACAACTGTCTATAACTCTAGTTCCAGGGGGTTTAACATCCTCACACAGACAACACTCAGGCAAAACACTAATACACATGAAATATAAATAAATAAATCATTAAAAAAATCTGAATTTTACATGATTTTTCATACACTGAGAAATATTAGATTTGTTTGCATTATTCTCCAGACCTTTAAGAAATGAAGTTCTGCTGGGCAGTAGTGGCACATGCCTTTAGTCCCAGCACTCACAAGGCAGAGGCAGGTGGATTTCTGTGAGTTTCGAGGCCAGTCTAGTCTACAAAGTAAGTTTCAGGATAGCCTGGGCTGTTACACAGAGAAACCCTGTCTCAAAAAACCAAACCAATCAAACAAACAAAAACAACCCCTCCCCCCAAATTATTTTATTTGTATGAGTGTTTTGCCTGCATGTGTGTATGTGCACCACGTGCATGCCTGGTGTTCTTGGAAGTCAGAAGGTAGCCTCAGACCCCCTAGAACTGGAGTTGTGATTGTGAGCCACCATGTGGGTGCTGGGAACCAAACCCAGGTCCTCTGCAAGAACAGCTAGTGCTCTCAACTGCTGAGCCATCTCTCTAACCACCCCCCACCCCTATGTTTGGCAATGCTAGAGATGGAACCCAGGGCTTCATGCTAAGCAAGCCCTCTACCACTGAGCTACATCCTGGGCCATTTTTAATTTGTTTGTTTATTTTGTTTTGAGACAACTGGAGATCTTCCTGCTTCTGTCTCCCAGTAGCTGAGTGAAGGTATGCTCTACAATGCTTAGCCTGCTTTGCCAAACTTGTTAAGAATACATGAACAGCCGGGCAATGGTGGCACACGCCTTTAATCCCAGCATTTGGGAGGCAGAGCCAGGTGGATCTCTGTGAGTTCGAGGCCAGCCTGGGCTACCAAGTGAGTTCCAGGAAAGGCGCAAAGTTACACAGAGAAACCCTGTCTCAAAAAAAAACCAAAAAAAAAAAAAAAGAAAGAATACATGAACAAAGGCTAGGGAGATGGCTCAGAGGTTAAGAGGCTGTTCTTCCAGAGGTCCTGAGTTCAATTCCCAGTAACCACATGGCGGCTCACAACCACCTGTAGTGAGATCTGGCACCCTCTTTGGCCTGTAGGCATGAACATGCAGGCAGAACACTGTATACATAATAATCTTAAAAAAAAAATAATTTTGGCCGGGCGGTGGTGGCGCACGCCTTTAATCCCAGCACTCAGGAGGCAGAGCCAGGCGGATCTCTGTGAGTTCGAGGCCAGTCTGGGCTACCAAGTGAGTTCCAGGAGAGGCGCAAAGCTACACAGAGAAACCCTGTCTCGAAAAACCAAAAAAAAAAAAAAAAAAAAATCTTAAAAAAAATAAAAAATAAAGAATACATGAACAAATCCATATTCCTCTGAAGATCAAATTATAACCAAGTCCCTAAGAACAATGGCCAACTAAAGCTAGAACCCATGCTCCTGAACCCCACTGGACAGAACATCATAATGGTACAGTTCTGTACACTTTCAGGATGGAGACTGGGCTGTCATAGTGAGGGACCTTCTTGATCTCACCTCTAAGCTGATGAGTCAAAGTCACTAATGTGCTAGCTGGGTCCAAACACCAGCTGGGGTGGAGCAAATTCCCAAGTCATATAGCATTAGGGAAGGACCACTGAGCAAAGGGTAGACACGGACTAGTCTTTCAGTCACTAGCGCCTAAGCCCCATGCCCTTCTGAACAAGCTGACTCTGCTTCTTCCAAACTAGAGAGCCACACAGTTTGTCCAGGTGGCTACAGAACATGACTGGACAGCAGCAGGATAGGAGCTCATTGTTGTCCCCAGCCTTAGGAGCACAGTTTCTTCCCAACCCACTTAGGGGAGGGTACCCCAGATCTTCTGGGGAAAAGTGGCATTGAAGCCTTTAATCCCAGGAGGTAGATATTTATGAGTTCAAGGTCAGCGTGGTCTATATAGTGAGACCTTGTCTCACACACAGACACACACACACACACACACACACACACACACACACACACACACACAAAGTGGCAGGTTAGGCTGGTGAGATGACTTGGTAGGTAAAGGTGCTTGCCGCCAACCTGATGGTATAAGTTTGATTCTCAGGACCCACATGGTAGGAAAGAACCAACTCCCACAAACTGGAGTGGTAAGGTGTGAGGCAGAACTGGACGAAGTCCCTTGTTTGTTGTGGAATAATCTTTTTTGTACACTGTGAAGATGTGTCTTTGCCAAGGCACCTTCTGATTGGTTTAATAAAGAGCTGAATGGCCAATAGCTAGGCAGGAAGAGGTTAGGTGGGACTTCTGGGCAGAGAGAAAGAAGAGATGAATCTATGCAAGGGAGAGATGACAGAGGAGATGGAGAGGAAGCAGGACATGCAGGAGGAGAGGTAAAAGCCATGAGCCACATGGCAGCACACAGATATAGAAATAGGTTAATTTAAGTTATAAGAGCTAGTTAGAAACAAGCCTAAGCTAATGCCAAGCTTTCATAATTAATAATAAGTGTGTCATGATTTGGGGGCTGGTGGTCCAAGAAGCCTGCTACAGCCCCTCCTCCATCACTTCCCAGTGATTCAACAGGGACCCATGGATATTACTCAGACTTATTTTCACTTCCTATGGATTGCAAATAATAATGCTTTGAATGTGGTAGAAATGGTACTTTTTAAAAAAGACCCCTGTGGGACTGGAGAGATGGCTCAGTGGTTAAGAGTGCTTGCTGCTTTTTCAGAGGATCCAAGTTTGGTACCCAGCACCCACATCAGACAGCTCACAATTGCCTATAACTCTAGCTCCAGGGAATCTAACACTTTTGATCTCTGCAGGTACCTGTACCCACATGTAGACACATACCCTACACCTAATTAAAAATAATAAAAATATTTTAAATATTTAAAAGGATTGCTGGCCTACTACTGAAACTAGAGGTGCTAGAAGGACACCAGGGCCTGTGGAGGAGGAGCCAGGCTTGGTGAAGAGGTGTGGCATAGAGGGCCATACCTGCAGGGCTGCCTACTGATGCTGAGAGTAAGCCTACCTTCAGCAACTAAAGGGGACTGAATGGCGCCCCCTCCACCCCCAGAATGCAGCTTTCTTCTGCACTCTGTGTAGCTATAAATACAGAAGCATCTCCAGAAGAGGGCCCTGTAGCATGGCTGGAGTCACTGACTGGGGAACTTAGAAGTGACCACCTGGAGATACAGGCAGAAACTACATACACTCTCAGAGGAAAGGAAAGTTCTTTTGGCCCTCTAGATTGAAGCAGCACTGATGACACTTCATTCCAGATTTCTGCCTCAAGGTCTCTTGTATGAAACCTTCTAACCCACTGTCACTTGTTCAGGCATCTCATAGAAACAACTGCAGGAGCCATCTCTAGATTCTCCCTGCTCTCACTTCCCCACCTACCCTAGACTCGAAACATGGTTGTGGGAGAAATATAGGCAGGATGCACCTTACGGGCCAAGAACAAGACCCCAGAAGGGGACCAGCTTGGGAAAGGAGGCTCCAGATTTGGATAGGCCATGCTCTGGTCCTGTGCCCCCAGTGGTGGATGTGGCTTGTGGACTCAGGAGAGGGGAGCCAGCACTGGGAAGTCATAGGCAGAAACGGCTCATCTTGGGATGCACCCAGGCTCTTTTCGGTGTAAGATGATACAAGTTAATTACTGGAGCCAGAAAAGCCAAGCACAAGAAGCAGAGGACCTGTACATTCTTGAGATGTTGTGTGGCAGGTGAGAGGCCTCAGTGGACATTAGCAAGTCTCCACTCCAGACTTTGTGGCTCTAGACAGTGTGGATGCTCTCCCAAGAGCGTAAGGTAAACTAGTCAAGCCTGTCGTTTGTCCCTGTAAGTGGCTCCTGGGATGTCACTTGGTCCAGTAGGTTAACTGGTGTCTAAATGTCCTGGTAAAATGCTGACCTGTGGCCCAAAGTGTGATGGAACAGCACTCAACCCTCCTTCGGGCATCACTAAGAAGCCCCTGAGTGCTCTCATGGGCAGTGGTTAAATAATAGTACAGCTAAAGAAACCTGTGACCCTCCACACAGAAAAAACAAAGGGACCAGTTCAGACACTGAGAAGGCTTCGCAGTAGATGCATGGAAGTACAAGCTACAGGGGCAAGGATAGCACGAGGGGTGTGCTCTCATCTGCCTATAGAAGGAGTGATCTATTTGACAGACTCGCAGTGCCTGTGGACGACATTGAGCCACAGAGGAAAGGTTCTGGAATGATACACAGAAGGAGAAAGGAATAATGTCTGAGAGAGGATGGGAGTCTCATCTTATTTTCCAAGTCTTAGGCATGCTCTACTGGAATCTATTCACATGGCCCTGTGCAGCTTGTCTTCTTCATTTATATACATATATAGATGGTGGTGGCTCAGGCTGGGGCTGACTTTGAACTCGTGATTATCCTACTTCGATCTTTCAAGTGCTGGGATTACAATCATGGGCCACCATGCCTGGCTCAGTTTGCCCTTGGCCTGATTAGACAGAGGCCTCTGGATGACAGCTCCAGAGCTCCTAGACACTCCCTCCAAGAATCCTACCTGCTTCTGATGTCCTTGGTGCGGATGGGGGCCAGAAGGCTGAAAGAAGATCTGGCTGAGTGAATGGAGTGATCGTCACCAGCCAAGGGGCTCCGGGGCCTGCTAGAGCCAAGGCTGCTGTGAGCCCTGACCAGCCTGGTCTGCATGCGGAGCTTGTAGTCGGCATGCTCAGGGTCAACCTTGTTTGCTGTTCTCAGGGAGCTGGAGGCTATGTTGAGGTCCATGGCTGGTGGTGTGTGTGCGGCATGCAAACTTGCCAACCTGGGGGAGCCCCCACCTGGGGTGGCCTCTCTGTGCAGGAGGTCCAAGGAGGTGCTGATCATTCCAGGGAGACAGTCACTCCACAAGGATGGGCTCCCTCCTCCCTCACTGCCTGTGGCCCTTCGGGGCTTAGGAATCTCCTGCAAGGATGTGCTGAGGCAGGGTAGGGGCCGACTGCAGGCAGGAGACTGGGCAACAGAGTCCTGCATGGAGCCCATGCAGGGACTGGCCCCATTCTGGACTGTCAGATCATCCTGACTATCTTGGAAACGCCTTCTTCTCCAGCCCTTGTCATCCAGGGACAGGGTTCGCTCCAACTTGGGTCTCATAGGTAGCTCTGGGGTGATGGGGTTTGCCTTAGCTTGTGGATTTTGGTTGCTTGGTTTTGCTGGAATGCTGAAAGGAGGCATGGGGTTTGTCTCTGAACCCTGAGGGTCAGTGGCTGATAGGGAGCCAGGTGTTGGGGTGAGGTTCTTGTCTGTGTTTGGAAGCTGTCCCTGGAGCATTCTGCCCTCCAGCTGCCCAGGTACCTCCGTGTGACGCAGACAAGCTGACTTGGACGGCATAGTCCGGACCTGGCCAGCCCTCACCCACTCAGTCTGGCCCTCCTAAGGAAAGGGATCCTCTGGGAGGTTAACAAGCAACTCCTGTTGTCAAGGATGCACGTCAGAGGTCACCAGCTGGATGCCAAGAAAAATCGGGTGGCTCCCTTTGTGGCACGGGGCGGTCCTTTTGGAGCAGGGTCTGTGGCTGCATGGCTGGAGTCCTGAGTTCTCATAGATGCTTGAGGAAATCCGGAAAATCTCTCTGAGTCTCTCTTAGCTCCCTGAAGCCAGCTTGCTGGTCTTAAAGCGACCTCGTAGGTACAGGCACCAGGAGGTCGGGGCTGCACTTCCTCCTCGGAGCTGTAGAAGCCTGTCCCACACCCTGGGAGAGCCCTCCACCCGACTGTGGCAGAGTAGGGCAGCGCGCTCGGCGTCCTAGGCTCACCTGTGCCCTTCGTTCGGTCGCAGACCCGCCGTCCGGCGCCTGGTCCGATCCAGCCAGGCCCGGCACTGGGGGAGGCGGGGCTAGCCCAGTCACGGTGGCGGCTGGAACAACGACTGCTGCCCCGTGCCCCGGCCCCCGCCCAGGGTTCGCCACAGCTCAGCCTAGTGGTCACCCTGGCCCAGGCCCCGCTCTGTGGTTGTCCGGCGAACCGCCGGGCTCAAGATCATACTGCCGCCCACAGCGGCCCCTGGCGGCTGGAGGACCACACCTCTTGTCTGGAAGCCACACCCACGAGGCCACGCCCTGTTCGACAGAGGCTATACCCCATCCAGACAGACCACACCCAATGCCACAGTAGCCCAAGGCTCTGGCCACACTTAAGATCTCACTGGCCTGCCGCTCAAAACACAAAGGAAGCCATAAATGAAGTTACGTGAGAGCCCAAAATATTTTATTTAACAATTTGAATTTAGGAAAAATAGCAGCTCCCAGGGAGGAAGCTTCTTGAATCAAAAGTGGTTGGCAGTCAACACAGAGCCTGGGCAGGGTTGCACCAGAGGCAAGGGTCCTGCCTGGTCCCAACAAGGACACAAGTTGCTACTGACCCACAGGGACAGGTCTTTCTTAGTGACAGGAACAGGAGGGTCTGGGCACACTCATCTATGGAACATTCTGGAAACCATTCTGTGAGTCTTTCCTAGATGATTCAGGGAACCAGAAAACCAGGAAGGGCTGTACTAATTCCACATTCTACAATTTCTAAATTTAATACCAAACAAACCATTTATGTTTCCTACCCAAATTACCTGCTGATTTTTATAAATATTTAAAAATCTCTTTCCCTCCTCTTTAGAGTAAAAGGATAGTTTTAGGAACAGTCAGTGAAGCCTTAAAGCTCTGAGTTTGAAGGTAGCAGCAGCTCCTTGAAGAGTGATGTAGCTGAGTCAGTGAGTAGCTGCTGAAGGTCCCTGATGGGCTTTGGGGTAGAGATGTCAGGTTCTAGAGTGTCTGCTAGGACACCGCAAGTCACTCCAAGATACCACCAAGTCCTTAAAAGATGTCTGCACAGGTGACAGGGAGTCAACCAGAGGGCCCCATACAGACCCCTCGCTAGGAGAGCAGTACTTTGCAGCATGCAGCCAGTTTTGACCTGGTTGGTTAATCAGATCAGCAGCTTCAGAACATCAGCTCCCTGGGGCTCTCCCCAGTGACTTTGTCACGAGGGGAAGCTCTGAGCAGTAAAATCCACCCAGCCCTAATCAGGCCACAGAAAATGGAGTGAGGCTGGGATTTCTTGGAGACATGCCCTGGCAATGGCTTCCCTCCCAGCCTGTGAGCCACTGCCATCTGGTGGCCCTAGAGGAGTTAGGCTGGACCCCCCTGGTTCACAGGGCAGGGCAGAGCTGCCCATGCGTAGCTGGGGCTCCTCTTAGACCAGGCAGCCCACTAGAGTAAAGGCTCCTCTCCAGTCAAGCACTTGCTCTTCTCTCAGCATCCTAAGGAACCCTGGTCGGTTTGCACCGTTTCTCAGGTGAGCAAGTCCCTGGTTTCCAAGGAACTGCGTGCTCTCCTGAGGGGAAGCCCTGTCTAGCCTCACTTCAGTGGTATTCTCAAGTGACTCAAACTATTATATCCTTAATTTGTCTAAAGCGACTAAGAAAGAAACATTGTTCTTTTACATAAAAGACTTTGAATTAGATTCATTCTATCCAGCATCTGAAAGGAACCATAGAATCAATTTTTCAGTAATTCATATACACGGGCTGCAAGGAGGGAGACACACAGTATGACCGGCTCTGGGTTACTGCCATGTCCATCTGGGATCCACGAGACCTGAGGCAGCTAGTTTGGTTCTTGGTGGAGAACAGTTATCTAGTCATCTCAAGGTTCCAAGTACAAATCCAGCGGCAATCCTAGTTCAATGCCACGTATTTTCTTTGGCCAATCCTCCCCGGCCTTGAATTCCCCGAGGTGACAGAAGCCTGGAACAAAAGGAACAGCAATGACCTACATGTGTCCATGGCCAGGGACTGTGCAGTAGGATGAGTCTACAGGGTAAGTACACAGGTAACTGAAAAATGGGCAAACTCTGTGCTGGCTTCAAGTGTGAGACCTTCTGTAGGTGCCAAGTTTCTACTGCTCAGCATTTCCTAGCCCACAGCACTCCAGACATGCTTTGTTTTTGTTCTGTCACAGTTCGGTCAAGGCCACCAGGGCTGAGGCTAGCTCTACAGAGCTGGGCCAGCTAAGGGGTCAGTGAGTCCAAGAGTGGACGTGGCCTATGGTCTTCTGTTGCTGCAAAGCACAGGGATGCCCCATGCCAGAAGAGAACACTGGCATATAGTCTTCCTTCCTCACAAGACTTCACTGGGATCAAAGCCAAGGAATCTGGCAGAACTACTCAACTACAAGGTCAAAAGAAAAATGAAATCTTGTAGTTGCCAGGACCCTCGAGAGGACTATATAGACAATGACCATGGCTGGGTCTAGCACAGCTGAGCGCAGGGTTCCTGTGATAATGTGCTGAGAACATCACATTCAGAATGTTAACATACCTGCCCAGGCAAATCATTTTGAGCCTTTCCTGGCTGCAAGGAGTTATTGAATTACTTCTCAATAGACTTTGTATGAGATATATACAAAAAAATAAATGAATAAACAAACACAATCAAATAAATAAATAAGGGCTGGAGAGATGGCTTAGTGGTTAAGAGCGCTGGTTGCTTTTTCAGAGAACTCGGGTTCAATTCCCAGCACCCTGTGACAACTCACAACTGTCTGTAACTCCAGTTCCAGGAGATTTGATGCCTTCTTCTAGTCTCTGTAGGTACCAGGCATGCACATAAAATACACAGCAAAACCCATACACATAAAATAAAAATGTAAATAGATAATAAACTTTGCTTGTTTATCCTTCTATAAATTGAAAAAACAAAAATAAAAACACAAGATGCATGCTCTAGGGCTGGGGATGTAGCTCAGTTTGTAGAGTGCTTGTTTAGCATGTATGAGCACCTGATTCAAGTCCCCCGCCCCCCAAAATAAAGATGCCTGCCCAAAGCTCTTCCCCTCCACCACAGCTCTCCCTAACAGTAGCCAGACCACACTTCCCCAGAAGACTGGTGGAGAGGAGAGAACCACAGCGTGTTCCCGATGCTTCCTGGCAGAATACACCAGGGCAATGACTGAGGAAGGGCTGCACAGACCCTCGAGGAAAGTGCCATTCCAGTCTTAGGAGACCGAGAGTGAGGACCTCAACTCTCATAGTGGGCACCAGAAAATGGCACGACCACTTCGGATCTGAAGAAAATTCCGTCTGAAAACTACACCCAGCAAACTCTCAGGCCAGCACCTAGGGCAGAGCCAAAGGGTCTTCCAGAGTCAACTGCTGAGGCCTGAAGCTCCTGGACAGCAAGTCACTAAGACAGAGGGATTAATCAGGAATGAAACAATGAAAGATTCCAAACCAGAGGTCTCCTTGATAGAGCTGCTCTCAAGGAGAAGAGGCAGGAGGGAGAGCAGAGGATTGGGCTGAGAGCCTGTGGCTAACCAGGAAAGCCATACATCCTGTGCAGGAATGGGAGGCTGGCAATAGGGGAGGCAGCCCTCAGCCCATGGCAAGGAACAGAAAAAAAAACCCTGAACCTGAAGAGCCCAAAGCAGTGAGAGGAACATGAGGCAAGCAGGGGGTGCAGGCTAAGTCAAGTAAGAGGGCAAATCTGCAAGAGGGGGAGGCACAGGACTGGGAGAGGGACTAGGTCACATCTCTGACCTGTGGCTGTGTAACTCAGCATTAAAGGACAGCCAGGCACCTACAAAGTGAGTTCTAGGACAGCCAAGGCTATACAGACAAACCCTGTCTCAAAACAAAAACAAAGACAAAGACAAGAGCCAGGGAGCAAAAGAGACTCACTGAGCAGGCAAGCTGGAGCTGTGGGGAACAAAGGCAAGGGTCACTCACCTGCGTCAACTGAGCAGGGTTGTAAAGGGGCACAGACCCTCCTGGAGTGGCCCCTGCAGGACAGTGGTCTCCAGAAGCCTGTGAAGCACAGAGAAGGACCTCAGCGAGCCAGTGTTACACAGCAGCTGCTGTCCGAGCAGCAGACAAAAGCCACACCTCAGAAAGGACCACTAATGTGCCACATAGGCCCCAGAGGGAGACAGCTCTGGCAACACTGGTTTCCATCACAGAATAGCCAAAGTCGAAGCACCATGCAGTAAAATAATCTGAATAACAACATGCAGACAATGAATGCAGAACACTGAAATTTCATTAGTGCTGGTCAAGCAGTTAGGAGACCTGGACAGTGTGCTTGCTCTACAGCCATAGGCAGCCAGAAATACCCCCTAAGACTTTCTGTTGAAAGCTACTGAAAACAGAAGGTGAAGCATTCCTTGTCTCCTCTAGACTAGCCATGTGATGGCCATCATAGCCACACTCCCCACTGGCTGCAAACAGACTTCCTCAAGCCTCATCAGCAAGAAGAAATCTTTCTTCCCAAGTAGTGTCCTAACTCAGGAGATGCTGACAGTATGGCTGGGGTCAGGCCCATTTCTCAAGGAGCAGAGTTAGGAGGCTCACCGAGCATTCTGAACCCCGTGAGGCGAGTCTTAGACAGTACCATAAACCCAGGTCCTTTAATAAAGGAAAATTGCATCTTTGCCCACATGATGCTTGGGTAAGACAAGGGGTTAGTGACAAAGTGAAGAGGATAACAGACTCTCTAAGGGACATAGGGGCTACACAGCCAGCCTTGTGGAAGGAGGGAGCCACCAGTCACAGGTACCTGATGGAAATGCCGGCTCACTTCCTGTGAGAGCGAGCTCAGAGAGCTACAGCGCGAGAGCTATGGAACGGCAAGAACACACACAGATACAGACATGAAGATCAGCATGCACCGCTGCTCCAAGCTGCCAGCTGGGTTCAAAAGCTTTATGATGCCATTAGAATCAATGTCACTCAAATGAAGACAGCCAGAGGTAGCTTCAAATGCCCTCCACAGTTTTGGTAAGAAACCATCATTACTCTAGGGGCAGGGAAAAATCTGTTTAGCACTCAGCCTACAACAGATTCACTCAAAATTCTGGAACTGCTCAGGCTACTCTGAGGGAGACCTCACTAGAGGACAATGATGTCAGGAGCTCAGAGCTCCTGAGCAAAAGTGATCAAACAAGTTAATGTTTTTCTGTGAATAAAACACATTAAGTGTTTCAGACTTGTACTTCCTTTTTATACTCATTTGCACACATTTCTAAAGAGAGAAACCATTGGGCAATACACTGAGCTGGCTGAGCCTCCATTCCAGGCCTAATACCCCACCACACCTACACACGACCACACATACATGCACATGCACACACCCATGCACATGCACACACATGCCCCCCACTTTTTCACCCATGCACACACATAAGACACAAATGCACACCACACACACACACACACACACACACACACACACACACACACACATACACACACACACAGCACTCATATACGGGTGGTGTTCCCTACCTCTCCTCCCTGGGAGCCATCTAATTTGGAGGGTGAGAGTTCAGGTCCAGGGGGTGATGCTGCAGAGCTTATCATCTGTTGAGGAAATAGGAAATGTGGCAACTTTGAAATTCCAAAGAGTCTAAGATTTTACACCAGGCAAAAGAAAACTGCCTGCTCCTGTTGCACAGCTTAGAAACTGCCCTGACATGCTCAGGAGCCTCTGTGAGGGGTCACACAGAAGGTGTTTTCCCCAGGCCCCCACTGTCCTGCTTGAAGTAGTTCTTGATGCAACAGCCATCAAATCATGCCAGGCATAGCCCACATGCCTGTGTGCACCCCACATTATTGCCCTCCAACTTTATGGAGGCAGTGAGAAGCCATGGGGGCCAGACCAGGGCAGGCTTCCCTAACAACATGGGATTCATTTGCTCTCTTTGAGCACAGATATCCTTTTTTTTTTTTTTTTGGTTTTAGTACTGCTAATTCTTTGTTTTCTAACTTTTTTTCTGATTTTCAAAACCTTGGTAAAATATGTTTAAGGCAGAAGTCAATACCCACACCATGTCAAAGCAAGAAACATTAATGCACTACACTACTGTACAGCTATCAACCCATCCACCTTTATAGTTTTCCATCTTTCCAAACCGAACCTTGACTGCCTTCCTCAGGCCTTGCACCCACCTTCTACTCTCTATCAAACAAATGGAGACAGTGTGACCAGAGCTATCACCTAGGCGCACCAGACACTGATTTGCAGAGGGGAAAGGAATCCTGAAGGACACAGGGAACCCCTCACCTTCTTCCCATTGCACTGTGCATACCTTGGGTTCCAGGGTGGGCTCTGCCTTAAATTGAGCCCCCTCTGCAGGATGTGACTCCTCTGCATCTGTGAATAAGGAGGCATGAGGTCATCACCCCATCCCAATCTGTACAACAACCCACATGTAAGGGTTCAACCCTGAACCCTCAGAGAGGAAAGGCCAACTGCCAAAGTAGTACATGCAAGCCTCTGGTCCTCTGTACCTTGGCCCAGTCATTCTTCTAAGGAAGACTGGGGCCAAAGGTTTATAGACAGAGACTGAGCAGGAAGAAGCAGGGTAGAGATGAACCTGCTAGCACATGGGCTGCCTACCTGGGTTTGGTACGAACAAGTTAGAAGGGATTGGGAGTGGGGCAAGTGGAGCAAAGAAATCCGAAGGAACAAGAGCTGGCTCATTCCGCTGTGTCCCACTTGGGTTTAGAACATCCACATAGCGAGCTCTGGACCCACCTAACAATGAGACGGGGAGTCAAATTCAGTTGAGCACCAAGCAACCTATAACATCCAAAATACTCTGTTCCCACTGAGTCAGAAGAGCAATGAGGGTCCACTAGAGGAGAAGTCTCAGCAGAATTGCCTATTGGGCTTGGCTTCCTTTCCACCCAGGCACACAGGCTGCATATTTTACTAATGGGAAACTTTAATCTGTCCTGTACTGGACAACTGGACTCTTCTCTCAAGGGTAGAATGCACTCTCTCCAGGATGGACAGTGTGAGTACTGTGACAGTTGACTGTGTTCTGGACGCCATATGACAGTGTTCTACCCAGACATCTCTGATTTCTGCTGTAGCTATTACCTGCTTTTCTAGAAAACATGTTCACGGAGGCTGTGGGTGGTCCTGTAGGCCCAGTGGGAGCCACCTGGGGAACCCTGGGAAACGATGTTGGAGGTGGGGGTGGAGCCTTCTTCTGCAGAGGGAGAGACAGCTCAGCAATGCCTTTAACATGACAGAGACCAGTGAGGACTCTCCAAAGGGAAGCACAATGCCCAGGTGACAAGGAGTAAAGCAGGCACCCTTCCCCTCACACAGCGACCTAAAGGCACTGCTCACCTCCTCCTCTGGTTCATTCAAATTCACCCACTGGTTTTTCTTTTCATCCCAAACAATCTGCCAGAATTTTTAAAAGAAAAAAAAAAAAATCAGTAGAATGAAACTAAAAAAAAAAATTAGCATTTGATTTAGATACTTTACAACTTCAGAAAATGTCAACTCTTTCCTAAGACATTATACTATCAAACAGTGACAGGCCATCATTATCTACTACCCACCCCTACCAAGCAACTGCCATCCCTAGACAATACTCACTGATTTGTTCTTGTCATCTGGTAGATAAGCTTCTGTCCTTTTCTTCCCAGGCAGCCAACGAGAGAACCAGGACTCACTCTAAATAAAATCATCAGAAGAGTGTGGGGACACTTCGAAGTGAGAGGAGCCAGGCACAATAAGGAACGCATTATGTAATACCATCTACAGTAGTGCCCTGTGAAGCCACATCCACAGAGATTGAACGTCAACAGAGGAAAGGGCTGAGGAGTCAGTGGTTGTGGGAACAGAGGGTCAGTCTGAACACTGAGGATGAGCCCATTTGGTATGCTCAGACCATGCGAGTCAAAGGCTCTGCTGTGCAATGATCTGTACACTTTCACAGTGCTGGGGATGAGACTCGGGACCCCTCAAATGCCAGGTAAGCACTCTATCACTGGGCAATACCCTAAGCATATCTTTTTGTGAGACAGTACCTCACTATGTAGATCTGGCTGTTCTGGAACTCACAGAAATCCACCTGCCTCTGCTTCCCGAGTGCTGGGATTAAAGGTGTGCACCACACCTGGCTGATAAGTGTTATCTTTAATAAACAAACCCAGAATGACAATATGTCACCTACAGCCACTCCATAGAAGCATTCCACATTCAAGCTCTTGACAAACTGAGTGAGCACCAGGCTCTACCCACCCCAGGAGTAGAAGGAAGTTGAGCACTCAGGATGGCCTTCACACAAAGCCCCTCTTCCTGTACAGAGAGAATCTGGGTGACCAGAATTTTATGTCTTTACTGTTCTGGACTGTTTTATTTTAAAAAAGGAGAAGAGAGAAGCTGTAGTATAGAATCCGCATTCTATTTCTCCTGGAATCCAAAGGGGAAATAACCTGTCTTAGGAGGTAGGCAATTGCCTGTTTATGTAGACTGAAGGGTTGCCATGGCTCAATGATACAGTGTTTATCCAGTACGTATGGGCCCTGGGTTCATCCCCAGTACAAAACAAAAAAGTTAAAATTAAATGGAGCAGGAGTCTAGCTTATAATTTATATACCTTGTTTTGGCCTGGAACTATGTAGACCAGGCTGACCTCAAACTCTTCAAGATCTGCATGCCTCTGCCTCCTGAGTGTTGGAATTAGAAGCATGTACCTTTTTTTAAAAAAAGATTTATTTATTTATTTTAGTTTTTCAAGACAGGATTTCTCTGTGTAGACTCGGCTGTCCTGGAACTCACTCTGTAGATCAGGAGGCCTCAGACTCACAGAGATCTATCTGCCTCTGCCTCCTGAGTGCTGGGATTAAAGGCATGTGTCACCACCACCGGCAAGATTTATTTTTAATTATGTGTATGTATGTGTCTACGTTGGGTATGTGCATATGAGTGTGTAGGTGCCTGTGGAGGCCAGAGGCATTGAATCTCCTAGAACTGGGGTTATAGGTGGCTGTGAGCTGCCTGCCATGCATGACAGGGGACCTTAGGACAGGAAGAGATGGGAGTTCATCTACCTTGTTCTCCTGGAAGCTAAAGGACCAGGTCTCCTCTTTCCTGTCCCCTAGATGTCCTTGTGTGTACATGTGTGTGTATGTGTGTGTGTGTGTGTGTGTGTGTGTGTGTGTGTGTGTATAGTTTTGTTTATATACATTTTGTTTTGTTCTTCTGTTTGTATTTTTTTGTGTATAGTTTTATTTTATATATATTTTGTTTGTTTTGTTCTTCTTTTGTTTGTTTTTTTGAGACAGGGTTTCTCTGTGTAGTCCTGGTTGCTCTGGAACTCACTTTGTAGAGCAGGCTGGCCTCAAACTCAGAGATCCTCCTGCCTCTGTTTCCTGAGCGATGGGATTAAAGGTTTGTGCCACTACCAGCACCAGCTGGCCCCTTGAAGGTATTTTTGTGGAATTGCAGTTGGAGCTTTCCTGGGAGCTCTGGGTCTTGCTTGGGGGAAGCAAGGTCTTATGGTAAGATTGGTAGGGGTGGACCAAGAGCCATAGTGTAGATGGGAAACCTGGAGGTCATTGTTAGCTGGCCCCTGATTAGCACACGGGTGAGAAGCAGTGACTCAGGGAGGCTATGGTGCCTATGACATTTAGTCAGTCAATTACCTTTGGCCTCTTTTGTTTGTTTGTTCTCTCTCTTTTAAACAGGATTTTACCATGTAGCCCTGGGAACGCTCTAGCAGAGCAGGCTGGCCTCAAATTTAGAAAGATTGGCTTGTGTCTGCCTGAAGAGTGCTTAGATTAAAGGCATGCACCACCACACCAGGCATGGCCTCATTTTTAAAATTACATGTCCCCTATAAGAGTAGTACATGCTATTAACTGCTGAGCCATCTCTCTTAACCCTTAAAATTACCTTGGGCTTCTTTTTTGTTTGTTTTTTTCCCCTGTACTAGGGACTGAACCCCTAGCTACTGAACTGCATTCCTAGCCTTCACTCATTTTTTAAAATTAAACTTGTGCTTATTCTCAAAAAAAAAATTGCCATGGGGGGCAGCAGATCTGATAAGTTGAATTCTCTTAAAATCTTAAACTATGGAGGCTAGAGAGATGGTTAAGTGGTTAAGAGCATATACTGGCTGGGCAGCGGTGGCGCACGTCTTTAATCCCAGCACTCAGGAGGCAGAGTCAGGTGGATCTCTGTGAGTTCAAGGCCAGCCTGGTCTACAAAGTGAGATCCAGGAAAGGCACAAAGTTACAGAGAAGCCCTGTCTCGAAAAACCAAAATAAATAAATAAATAAATAGCATATACTGCTCTTACAGATAACCTGATTCAGTTCTCAGCACAAAGTTTGGGCAGTTCACAATCTCCTGTAACTCCAACTTGAGGGCATCTGACACTTTCTTGTCTCTGCTGGCACCTGTACTCATATGCACATACCCACCACACATACACATATAATTTAAAAATTATATAAAATCTTTTCAAAAATTAAAAACTATATTCTTTGTTAAGGCATTATCAAGAACAAAAAGGTGGCTGGGCGGTAGTGGCGCACGCCTTTGATCCCAGCACTTGGGAGGCAGAGGCAGGTGGCTCTCTGAGTTCAAGGCCAGTCTTGGCTACAGGATGAGTTCCAGGACAGGCTCCAAAGCTACAGAGAAATCCTGTCTCAAACCTCCCCCCCCAACAAAAAAAGATGGTCTACATATTGGGAGGGATTGTGCACCACACAGTCATTCAACAAAGGATGCACCCACCACTCAGGGACTTCCACTAATCACTGAAACAACAGTTCAGAACAGAAAAAGATTAGAACGAGTACAAGACAAAGGAGCTCTTGGGGCTAAGCTTGTGCAAAGGTGCTCAGCTTCACTGGAGACATCAGGGGTCGCAGATTGCATCTTGGGAAAAGAACTTACAAACGAATGCCTTTTCTTTGCCTCCAACTTCCAAAGAAAGCTGCTTTGGGGTACTGAGCCTCCCTCCAGTGCCTGCCCCACCTCTCTGCCCACTAGACAAGTGGCAGGACTGGGTTATACCTTCTTGGGCTCCTTGGCCTCCTTTTTGACAGCTTGTGCAGGTTTCTTCCCTTCCGAAGCAGGTGTCAGAGATGGAGCAGGTGTCAGACTGGAGCTGCCACGATCCCACACTGGGGGGGTCTTCAAGTCCTGTACTGTTCTGGAGGAGCCCTGTCACAAGGCAAGATGAAAACCAGCTCTCCTGGAGCTCCTTGTGAGGAACTGAAGGGAGCCAAGGGAGTATACCCCACTAGTATCTCCCTAGTAGGGCAGAGAACTAGTGGGAACAGAGAAGAAGGATTTGACAGCTCCCAAGCTGGGCATTTGAAACATCCTCAGTCTGCTAGAGAAATGCCAGCCCCACCTAACAAGCGCTCAACAGAAAGCATCATAGTGCTCCAAGAGAGGGAATATATACATGCCTTAGGGTAGGGCTGGTCAGAACTGGGCAAGATACCTTAAGAAAAATATCAGAATCTAAGATATCCTCTCCATGAGCTGATCAACAGCTTGGTGTTAAGGCACTTGCTGCTCAAGTTTGACAACCTGAGTTTAAGCTCCAGAACCCATGTGAAGGTAGAAGGAGAGAGCCAATTCCACAGTTTCCCCTAACCTCCATGGGGGAACTGTGTCATATGCACACCTACCCATAGAAACACCCCCATACATACACATATATGATAATGTTAAAAAAATAAAGGGGCTGGAGAGATGGCTTAGCTTTTAAGAGTGCTTATTGCTCTTGCAAAGGACTAGAGTTCAGTTCTCAGCACTCACATCCAGCAGCTCACCAACACTTGTAACTCCAGCTCCAGGGGAGCTGATGCCCTCCTCTGCCCTCCACAGGAACCCATGTATGCACACACACAAATAAAAATTTAAAAAAAAAAAAAAAAGTGATCCGGGTGAAGGCATGATCACTACACAGGGAAGCTCCCCTCCACCCCTATTACTTTTCAGGAACAGGCTAACTGAAATGATAGAGGAAGCACCTATTAAAGGAACATCCATCAAGGAGAGGTTATCTGTAAAGAAACTTCCAGAATGTGCCATCTGTCCCTCTTGGTTGAGAGCACACAGAAGAGTATCTGTACCAAATCTTGTGTGCTGCAATAACTGCAATTTCAGGGAAACCAAGATGTCAGGTTCTGCTGTACAAAGAGGAGAAATCAGGAAGATTTTCCACCTCTGAAAATTAAATCTGGAGTCTCACTGCTGCTTAGAGGACCTGCTTGTACAACACTCAGCTCTCTCTTTTGCCTTTTTAATCAATGTTTTCATCAACTTTCATATTTGAAGAGTTAAAGTAATTTTTAAAATGAACTGTTCGTGTGTTATATCACTTGTGTGGAGGTCAGAGGGTAACTTGTAGGAGTTGGTTCTCTCTGTCTCCCATGTGAGAACGAGCTCAGGTCATCAGGCTTGGTGGCAAGCACCCTTACCAACTGAGCCATTTCCCTGGCCCCAGCTACAGTGACTTTAGAAACACTTTCTCTTTACGAATTGAATTTAAATGTAATCTCCTTACCTTCATTACCTTCCTATTTCAGGCTAAGAACAAGGAGCCAAGGTATCTATCTACTCAACAAACTCACAGAAAAGAGCTACAACAAAGTATGGGAAGTACCGGGTCAGCAAAGTTCCCACCAAACTCCTCTTCATTGAGCTCTGGAAGTGACTGTCTGACAGGTGAGCCCCGTGGCACTGTTTCTGTCAAAACAAAAGAGAATGACTGGGTCTTGGAGATGCTGCATTGGGACAAGATGGAAGCGAGGCACTGGCAGGGCTCAGACTGAGAACAAACTTATTACTAGGCTCAGCCACCAGTGTTCCTTTCCAATACTGAAAAGGTTTTCCCAAATGTTTGGCATCTGCTTTGCTCTTCAGAAGCAAGCCTATGTTTTGTTTTGTTCAGCTAGTCAGACAGGCACAGGATCCATCAAATTTGACCTCCAGAGAAACATCGGCAACCTCTACCTGTGTAGCCCAAGGGACTTAGTACAGCACCAAGAAAGACCCTGCAATGCCCTGGAGCCATTCTATTATACTCTAAATGGGCAGCTGGGCTTCAAATGGTAGCACATAGCCAAGCCAGGACAGAAACTAGCATTACTGCTTCAATGCACTGAGACTCTGAATCCATTCAGTTCGGAATTCTAGCACTTTTGGTGCACATAATTTCCTCTGCTAGCTACTTCCTTTAACACCAAGGCCAGCTAACTCTGCTCTCAGGACAGCATCTATCCCTCAGCAGACATACCTGGGTCTGGGTTTCTGGCCTCCTGGAGTGGAGGCCCACTTTCCTGGAGACATGGTGTAGTGGGTGGCAGGGCCGGCCCAGGGTGCAGCACTGCAGGATCAGATCTGGAGGACTCTGGGACGCCAAGCACAGACCCTGGGGGTCCATAAGTAGGACCCAGCTCTAGGGGGCCCTGGGATATTGGCACTGGGAACATCGGCACCCTGGCAAGGTGAGCTGGCTGGCCATCAGGGAATGTCTGTGGAGCTGCAGGGCACAGTAAGAGGAAGTCTAAGGTCACTGAGGCTGACTGCTCCCAGGCAAGCACTGATCGGCACATCACAAACACATTTCCTACAAGCTGCTCTGCATAGCCACACTTCTTTTATAATGAGGTAGCTGAAAATAGCACCCACCAGTGGTCTAGGAAAAAGCAGAACATTCATGTCCTAGGAGCCCAAGGGCAAGATGGGTGCGCTAGTGCCCATCAGCAGAGATGATGTGGGGCACAGGCTGCAACCTACATTGAATGGTCCCTAGCACAGTGTTGCTTTGGTAGTGCACTCTCCCCATTGCCAGGGGTCAAACAGACTGACTAATTGTGCACACAGGTATCCATACAGCTCAACTTTCGAGTAAGTCCTCTCTGCCAGCTCAACACTGGGCACAAGGGCACATGCCTATGATCCCAATTTCTCAGAAGGCTTAGATGGGTGTTAACCACAAGTTCAAGACCGGCCTGGGCAACAGAGTGAGATTCCTATCTCCCAATACAAAACAAGAATCCTGATGCAGGGAATGAACTAGGAAGAAGGAAAACAGGTCCTGAGTCAGGAGTGGCTAGAACACTAAGTGGGAGGGGAGCTTTGGAATAGAGGGTATCAGGGCTAACCTGCTGGGAAGACCAGCCTGTCCTCAGGATAGTTAGGGATACCTGCAGAGCAGGGGCAGAAGGAAAGACAAGTAGGCAGAAAAGTTGCTTGCCTGACTAGAAAAGAGGTTCAAGAAATGAGTGAGAGGTCTGGACCCCACCTCCTGGAGGAATGGGGTAACCCTTCCCAAGATGAGAAAGATGGGGAGAAGCAGCTGCAGGGGGAGAAGCAGTGGCACTTGTTCTGACAGAGCTGTGAGGCTCCACAGGAAGTGAGCAGCTCAATGGCAGCTGGAGCCAGTCAAGGGCCAGGGGAGCATGAGTATCAGTGACATCAGCAGAAGAGCACCTAAAGCTCTGCAACTTCACATGCTCACCGTAAGAGGAAGCACAAAGAGAAAGGAGGAGGAAGCCTAAAGGTCACCAATCACCATGGTGCCACACTGCCTCATCCCTGGTAGCAAAATACTCTCTATTCCAAAGCAGACATCAGTGAGCAAGTCCAGGGGTGTTGTGGGTCCCACCTGTGGGCAGCAGCTGCACACCATGCATCAAGGGCTCAGTGCTTGGCATCAGTAGAGGGTTGTCGGCCCTCAGTCCTGCCTGCTGGTTGAGTCCTGGGCCATCCAACTGCTCTACCTCAGAGCCTGGTGTGATGTGACACTGCTGGGGGTCAGTTCCATCCGGGCTCCACAGCACAGTGCCTTCCTACAGGAAACAGAGTTAAACTGCAGCCCATGCACAACAGTACATGTGGATCCAAGTGCATTCTCCAATGCCCTCCTAGCAACAAGAAAACTCCCACAGCATATACACGTCTGAAGTCACAGTATCACCATCAAATGCTTCAGTGTGAAAACAACAGGGGCACAAATCCTCTCATCAGATGCCTCCAGGCCAAGTTCTAGGACAAGGCTGTGCTGTCAAAAGGCGCACCTGGATCTGCCTCTCCACATGCCGCAGCTGCACCAACCAGGCAGGCTCCACAAAGGACTCCTCTTCTGGCTTCTCCTTCAGTTGAGGATCAAAGAGGCGTAACTGGGAAGCCATCTAAAACAAAGAGAACAGAGGTCCTTGTTCCTGCTGGGTGGCACCAACAAAACTGTCCTCAAGTTCAACACACTTGGTTAGAGCTGAAGGAGGTCATGTGTTGGTTGTGCAAATTGGGTGATCAGAGTGAGCCCAGGATGGAGTTCACACTTGTATGGATCAGCAGGCCTGTCCCAGTGCTCAGCCAAGCATGGAAGATGCACTTCTTGTTTTTTTTTGTTGTTGTTGTTTTTTGTTTGTGGTTTTTTTGTTTTGTTTTGTTTTGTTTTTTTGAGACAGGGTTTCTCTGTGTAGTTTTGCGCCTTTCCTGGAACTCACTTTGTAGACCAGGCTGGCCTCAAACTCACAGAGATCCGCCTGGCTCTGCCTCCCGAGTGCTGGGATTAAAGGCATGTGTCACCACCACTGCCTAGTGGAAGATGTACTTCTTTGATAGGGCCTTGGAAGGATTTGAGTGGATCCAGATGAACCAAATTTAGCACTGTTAAGTAATGACTGTTAAAGCTGGGGGACAGGGCATGAGCCTCTTTTACCTGAATATTTCCACAATAACACATTTCTTTACTTATTCCATGGTATGGAAAAAATTCCATATTTTTAGGAGTGGAGCTGTTAGGGAGGGGATACCTTGACATGACATCCCATGTACTGGGACCTGCTTAGAGTGGCTGTGGGCTTTCTGCACCTGTACTGGAGGCTTATCAAAGCAACAAGAAATGGCTGGCAGAGGTGCAACTAGGACTCAGACCTAGTTGCTGACTGACAAGTATGCGCTTTTAACTAAGTAAAAGCACTGTAAATGCAGGTACCCTGGACATAGATGATCTTTTCATCTTCAAGTTTATGGCTGAATTTCTGCATGGGCACAGGGTACCTGTAGAGTTTCCTATATTAATGCTGCAAAGCTGAAACAGCCACCCAAGAGCACTAAAGTATCTAAGGTTCTGGGTGTCACTCTGTTGAGTACCACTCACTACAACCCCACCCCCAAGCCCAGGAAGATGAAGTCTGCGCCTTCCTATCGTTGGCACAATGCCAACAGGAAGGTGCCAGAAGATCCTACCTGAGTCAACTGGCTAATCAGTACTGGAGAGTATGCACCAGGCTGTGTCAGGACACTCTTGGCTATCACTTCACAGTAGTGGAAGGCCTGTGTGGCTAGCCCCATTTCAGCCAGGCGGCACAAGTAGATGAATTTGAACACCTGAAATGACAAGTGCACCGTCAGAATCCCGGGGCTTCCCAGCACTCCTGAGATCTTCGATGTGAGCACCACAGCAGCCTCGGTGACAGTACAGGGTCAAAGTTGACACCTGCACACCTCACAACATCTCTGACACAGCTAGCAGCTCAAGATTTGAAGTCCTGCTGCTGCCAAACATCCAGACAACTGTCTTTGCCATAGGCAAACTATATTCATTTATTTAGTGTTTTCATTGTTGTTATCACTATGTAGCCCTGGCTGTCCTGGAACTCTGTAGACCAGTCTTGGCCTCGAACTCATAGAGATCCACCTATCCACTTGCCTCTGCCTCCTAAGTGCTGGGATTAAAGGCATGTGCCACCACCACCTGGCACCATGGGCAAACTATAAACATTCCCTACCAATACATACACACACACACGCGCACACACACACACACACACACACGCACGCACACACATATGCACACATGCACATATTGGGTCAGATCAGACAATCTCATTAAAAAGTTCTTAAAACCTAATTTGAAATATTAAGAACAAAAATATAAATAAAAGTTCTCTATTCAACATAGCATTTTGATCAACTGTATATTCGAGGTGTCAAAAAACAAAAAAAAAAACCCACAAAACAAAAAACCCATCATTACTTTTGTGAGAATTCAAAAACCTAACCAAGCAAGCACAGGTGAGCACTGGCCAACCCCCACAGTCCCCGCTCACCTGGAAGTTAGGTAAGGAGCAGGTGTGTACCCCAAGAGACTGAGCATACTCATAAGCCTCCGTCCTTTGAATAGCTTCATTGGTGGCAAACTTTAAAAATGGCAAACTGTGGAAGAAGTGAATTATTCCTTTTGAAAAGTGGCCATTACTGGCATCATCAACCTCCGAGCAGGTCATTCCAAGCATGTCCTACCACATGGCAAAGATGCAAGGCTGGCCATTTTCAAATTAACTGAAGGACAGGGGTCTTTTGCTTCTTAAAGAAAAATGGATACTGCTATATTGATTTGATTCCTTACCTGTGATTTGAGCCTATCAAGACAAGTTTCGTGGTTTTCTTTGTATAAACCCCAAATCCAACCTGGGCCATCAGGTAGCAGAAGTGTGCAGCATCCAGGAGGCCTTTTGATGCTGAAGAGAAAAAGCAACCACATCTCATCAGTCCTTGGAAGCTCTCCAGGGAAGGTGTCATAAGACATAAGACTTATTAAGATGCACCATGTCTCTTATGGGTTCTGGCACAGTTCACACAGCCAGACTCTGGGGTCTATCACATGGCAGCCAAAGGCCTACCTCACACCTAACCCACCTAGAGTATCGCCCATCGTAGCCATGGTCCTAGACTCAACATCCATGTTGTTGTTCAGGTTGGATAAAACCATTGCAAGATGCGGCCTCCAATCTCCCCATTTCTCATCTCCACAACACTACAATGAGAACACCAAACAAATCCTTATCCTTCAGAGACTGTCATCTTTAATTCCCTGATGGCCAAGCCCAGTGAGAAAGCAAGGCAAGAAACACAGGTTTCAGACAGACTCCATGGTCAAAGTCTTTAGCATGCACAAATCCCACTGGACTATGGGCCTCCACTAGTGTCCTGGGGACCTGCACACTCACCGTGGACGCAGCAGGCATCCGTCCAGACATGAGCTGGTAGACAGTCTGTAGGGGGTCATTGATTGGAAGACTGTTGGCAAACCTATGTGTACAGAGAATGGGGAGATCTATCTCTGGCTCAGTTAAAAGAAATCTCAACCCATTCTCAGTCCTTTATTAACTGTCAGAATGAAGAATTCACTGAGATTTTATAGAAAATATTAAAAAACATCAAGCAATAAAGAATTTAAAACTCCCTCAACAGTATAACCCAAGAAGGGTCAAGGAGGCCTATGACTCCACAGCTGAAAGTCCCACAGTAGAGGCAAGATACTTGAGTACCAAAGTCAGGTTATGCAACTGGAAGGGGGTGCACTATAAGCCAGCTCACCTGGTCATGACACGGGCATGTGTCCGGCTGTCCATCTTACTTGCAAGCAGCAGAGCGTGACCCCATAGGCCATTTTTCATGGCAGACTCCAGAGCATCCTGCAATGCATTTCAGGGCTCATGAGAATGATCAGAGTACTTACCATTAGACCAGGCAGAACCACATGTTGTCATGTACACACAGAAAAAAGACATGGCAGGTCAAAAGACAAATATGTTCATGGTGTAGAGATGACAGTACAGGCTTGTCCTTCACTGGGTAGAAACAAGTGGCAGTACCACAATGTGAGGAGTGCAGTATCAGCATGGGTTCCCTATCCAGGTGACATGTGGCTTTCTCGAATACTCTCCCAAAACAAACAGCATCCTCAACATAGTCTCCCTTCACCCCAAATAATCTGTGGTACAATTGAGCACTTTTGGCTAGGAGGCAAAATCTTAGCAATTGAAGTAAATATTCACAAAAGCCAATAGGGTCTACGATTTCAACCAGCTGTGAAACATCCATATTAAAATCCTAAGGACCACAAATGAGTTTTTCCTGAGCATCGGGGCACACACTTAAAGTCTCAGCTACCCAGGAAACAGAGAGAAGACCACCATTTGAGCCCAGAAGTTCAAGGCCTGCCTGGGTAACATAGCAAGACTGTTTCAAAAAATAAGCTTTTTAGTCAGGTGTGGTGGCACACAGCCTAAATCACAGAACTTCAGAGGCTAGGGCAAGAGGATTGTGAGTTTGATGCTATCCTGGGCCACAAAGACCCTATTTTAAAGACAAAAACTTTCTAATTTGGCGTGTATTTGAGAGTATATGTTTATCATGCACACGATCCTGTTCAATTCTTAGACCCAAACAAGACTAAAACCATGAACTTCCTAAGTTGATCAGAATGTGAAGGACAGAGAACTCTGGGCCTATCAGATGTCCCTGACATAACTCAATGTGCCAGTATGAAGTACCTCCCACTCTCAGTACATCCTCTGCCCCAATGTGCACACTTTCAGCACTCTTTTTTTTTTTTTTTTTGGAGACAGGGTTTCTCTGTGTCAAAAGTAGCCCAGTCTGTAGCCCTGGCTGTCCTGGAACTTGCTCTGTACATTAGACTGGCCTCAAATTCATAGAGATCCACCTGCCTCTGACTCTCAAGTGCTGGGATTAAAGGCATGTGCCATTACTGCCTGGCTACTTCCAACACTCTTGTGCACACTGTCAGCCTCAGGTATGTAGAACCCTGTCTTAACAAAAATACACAGAATTGGCCTGAAGCTTCAGTCTGTAAGAAGACTTCATTCCAGGACTGCACACAGATGAGCATCCACTCTCTCTAAATGACTATAAACTGAGCAGGTCAGATTTCTACATGGGCCCATCTCAGAGAAAACACTACTGATACCTTCAGAGATGTCAGGCAAGGGCCAGGCATCATTCCTAAACAGCACTTGCTGTAGTGCTTCCTGGAGGAGGTTAGTCTTATTCCTCGGCCAAAAGACAGACACTAGAAGAAATATCAGCAGGGCTACCTACCTTCTTCCGGCCGTATAGCAAGAGCTCACGGAATCGCTCAGTCTCCTTCTCCAGCACACTGTTGGTCACTGTCTGACCGTCTGTGAGAAACGAGAGCTGGGCCTCCCCTGACTCCTCTTCTTCCACTTGTTCCACGGCCTCATTAGTAAAATCTATCAAGTTTGCCTCATTGGGTGACTTCCCAGGAAGCCACACAGTTCGGTGGTCTCGTAACAAAAGCTCTGCAATATCTGTTCCCACCACGGTCTACAGGGTCAGTGGGAACAGGATGGAAGGCAGCATAAGATTTTATTAGAAACAGGGTTTCTAGCCAGATGACAAAAAATTCCCATGCTGTCATAGCCTAGCCAGGTATGCATAGGTAGTATGTTTGACCCCAGGAAAGAAGCCTGACTCTTCACGTGGGCAGGGACACACTGATTCTCAACCTCCCATAAGGGCCGAGATGTCAGCTCACCACCAATCTTACACCTCCCTTTCCTCCTACTTTCCCAGGTTGCTGCCATGATGCTCTTCCCAAGGAAGCATGACATGGGTGGATGCTCTTCCTGAGGTATGGCAGGCTTGACATTGCCCACAGCTCAGGACAGGAATAGGAAACAGACTCTGAGACTAAAGGCAAACAGGGAGAACATTCAAGAAGTAAAAGGGAACATACCCCATTCTGTCTGCATAACAGAATAATGAAATTCCAAAGAAGACTTGCAGATTCTTTGTCAATTAAACTCTCATTCTGCAAACATTTTGTCGCTTTGTTCTGTGCAAAGTTAATAACATCTACTTTGTGGGTATCATCTCTGGGGAAAAGAATGAACATTCAGTGAATGGTGGTACCAAAACTGTGAGCCAAACTCAGCAGTGCCGTTATAGCAGACATCAAGAGACATCGCAACAGGGAACCTTACTTTCCAAGAGGTCCTGGGAAGGAGCGCATCTCTTCCTGCTCAGGTGTGTGCTGCAGCAAGGTCTGCAATGAGAGGGGCAAAATGGCTCACATGTACAGTCAGAACCACCAGCAGCGAGTCATAGAGCCAATTCCTGGACGACACTCATTCCTCTACCCAGAGGGTAAAGGTGCTTGGACAATTATATGAGCATGAACCTATTTGGGTCTTGACACATGTGACTCTTTTGAGGCTAAAGAGCAAGTGTCCTCCCAGTCTCATTCCATTACTGAAAAAAACACTCACTCTCAAAACATAAAAGAAGACAGAAAAGCATACATCATCAACCCATATCTAACAACCATAGCACCTGCTTGAAGTACTGACCTCTAGGAGAAGAGCCAGGCTCTAAAATGCACAAAAGCCCTATAGGCCAAAGTTTTTCAGGAAAGCGCACTTTCCAAGGCTGCAGGGTGCAGCAAGCGCCACGGGTCATGCTTACCTCCAAGCTGTGGATCTCCACTAGTGCAGGCTGTCCTTCTGAAGGCAGGTTGGGAATCACTTTAAGGAGCTGACCACCAGGACCAAATCTGGCACAGACATGAGGCACTGTAAATTTCTCAGGAGAGGTCGGTCTTGATGGAGCTGAATTTAAATAAATAGGAAGGAAAACAATGAGCTAGCTGGTCATGTCTAACAGCTTCTGAACCAGATTCCCAGCTCAGGCTTCCTGCCCAAGCTCCTTGCCCAGCTCAGCTTCAGACTGACTGTCGCAGAGCACCCAAGAGCAAAAGAGCTGAACAACTCACACACAAAAACAGTTTCTTACTGACTGGTGCTTCAGTTAGGGGAGCTCTCGGCAACATCTTCTAAAGCTACATCTTTCAGGAGGGAGTCAAAATGGGATACTGGCACAAATCAGAACAAGAGTCTCTCAAGGGGAACTAGGAGTTCCAAGACTGCTCACCCACATAACTAGTGTGGGAACATAGAGAAGAGTCATCCAAGGCTTGACTGGACTCAAAGTTACACATTAACAATGCACATGTGGTCAGGCAGACAGCTCTCAGACCCTGAGAGACATGTCAATCCAAGGGCCAGCACTGGCCTGTACCAACAAACCATGACATTCGGGACAGTGGGCACAGCCTGCAAAGAGCAGCTGATTGGACTCCCTTGTTCTATCCCAACCTGGTGGCTTCAATCTGAACTGCTGAGACGCACCTTGCTCCACAGTAGGCCAGGAGGTATCTGCAGGGTAGCTGTACTCTGGAAAACCATGGGCACCGCTGAAATTGCTGGCATAGGTGCCATAGGCATAATCACCATGAAATGAGCCTGGGGCATGAGGGGCCTCAAAGGAACCGCCAGTCACATTGTGGCTTCTGTAAATCTGACTCTTGGGAAAGAAATCAAGCAGAGAAAGTGAGTTCCCATGAACGCTAGAAAGACAGTGGGTAGGTATACTGTTAGAACTAAGCAGAGACAAAGTTGTGGTCTTGACTTAACACCTGCTCTTCCCCCTGCCAAGCCTGCCCAGCACACCTGGTGTGAGTGGGAGCTGAGGCTGCTTCGGCGGCTGGGCAGGCTGTGAGTGCTGTGCAGGCTCCGTGCTGAATGCTCGCTGTGGATGCTACGCCTGTCCACTTCTTCTCCATAGGGGTCCCTGTGAAGCTCAGTGTCATCATCGAAGCTCCCCGTGAAGCGAGGGTCATACCTCCAGTGATCATCACATTTCTCAGGCCTAGAGTAAACAAGGGACCAAGGCAGGGAATTGGAAGGGCAACTCCCTGAGACACCATGTAACTACTCAGGAACTTAAGGCTGCAGTTAGCCCTCACTGCTCATTGCCCTCCCTTTGTTCCTCTATCCTGAGGCTGTCTTCACCCTGAAGAATGTTAGTTATAGCTAACCCTGCAGGCCTGGCACAAGAAACCAAATCCTAGGTTCAGACGCAGGTGATCTCAGAGAACACACTGCAGGTGCAACTTGAGGGTGGTTTCTTTCCTGGGTTATGGGCAGGATGGAGAAGGGCACTGAAGAAAAGGGGCAGACCTAAGGTCCTCCCAAAGCCACTGGGAATGAACACATTTGAGCCAGTTCTTCTCTCATAGGCCAGAGGTGGCCAAGGCTTCCTCTTTCAGACACTAAGAGATTACTTCCCAGAAGCTCCAGAACTATAGCTGATCACTTCCAAAGACAGGAGGAAGGCAAGCAAGCACACCTCAGCTCCCACCAACTTCCTTCACACATGTGCATCTCACCAACCTGTCACTGTAGGCATAGTTTTCCTTCCTGTATGGGTCATGTTCGGAGTCATACCAGTACCTCCGGTCCCAGGTGCGAGGGTCCCTGAAGCGAGACCCATAGTAACGATCCCAGCGGCCTGGGTCTGTAAGTGGAGAATGAAGGGATGAGTGCAGCAGCAACACACAGAAGATACACCCTGCTCCCCTGGAGCAGGAGGACAGGTCAGGAGTAAAGGACAGGCATGGTCTAGAGTACAGGCCCCGATCCGGAGAGGCCAGCGCCTCCTGATCATGATGTGCCAGTCACTGGCTGTTCTCTCAATACACATATTTAGATGAAAAAAAGAAAAGAGTTCTATATTAAGTTCTTTTTCACTTTTTTGATTTGTTTTATGATATGAGGGATCAAACCTAAGGCTTCAAGAATAGTCAGATGTATAGCTATAGCTCCAGCCTTGATAATATTTTTTAATAGTTAATCTCAACTACAAATTATACTAATTATCTTCCTAATGTGATTCAAGATATATATTTTTTAAGATTTATTTATTTCAGTTGGGGATTTAGCTCAGTGGTAGAGCGCTTGCCTAAAGGCCCTAGGTTCAGTCCTCAGCTGGGGGGGGGGGGGGATTTATTTATTTCTATGTGCACTGATGTTTTGCCTGCATGTATGTCTGTGTGAGGGTGCCAGATCCCCTGGAAATAGAGTTACAGATGTTGTGAGCTGCCATGTGGGTGCTGGGAGTTGAACTCAGGTCCTCTGGAAGAGCAGTCAGTCAGTGCTCTTAATAGCTGATCTATCTCTCCAGCTTGTGTTTCAGAATATTTTAAAAATAATTTCATTAAAAGCTAACTCTAAAAAGAAATATTAACATTACGAACAAACAAGAGGTATCATTTTAGGGGAGTGTGTATAATACTCCTGTTTAAAATTAATGCAAATGTTTAAGGGGTAAAGAGCCCCTTGGGAGGCATAAGGAAATACCATGTAGACCTGTCAAGGGACTGTAGGGCAGTATGGTACAACAGCATACAGCAGGGTTGCTAAGGGAACTCATAGCTTTCCCTAGGATATGTTTTGTGGAAGGGAAGTATGGAAACATATAAAGTCACTAGAAGTGCCACAATGGACATGCTACATCTGTCACCAAGGAGCAAGCATCAGCCTCAAGTGGCTTCTGAGTATTCAAGTGGCAATGTGACTGGGGAGCCAGTCTTGCATCCCACTACAATCTCATTAGCTCATACTTAAATAGTCACAAGTGGACCAGGAAGTCTCAGAACTAATCACTATACTTTATGACAATACAACAGATGCCATGTTGTGAGTACAATGTGACTTTTCAATAAAGTTGTCAAAATGATGATTTTCAGATGCTAAGAATTCTCAATTACTTTGGCTCTTAAGATAAAAACACAGGCCAGTGAAAGGAAAAGTGAGCTTGATTCACCTGCCAGACCATGACTTGTATATGGCTACATGATCACAGGCAGTGGTTGGACAGTCCCCTGATAATGGCTACAATTTCTAAACATACCTCCATAATCATACTGGCTGGAGTAATAATTAGCATAGTAATCACTCTGACTGCTCCATCCACTCTTAGAATTATAGTATCCTTCAGGATAACCTTGCCTGGAGGAGGGGAAAAAAAAAAGAGCTTTTAAACACAGTTTTTGTTTCTTAAAGTGTAGTGAGGAATTAGCCAACCAAAAATTCACACATTCATAAAATCACCTCAGCCGTGGAAAACTCACAGATCACAAGCAGAAACAAAGATCAGACTGTGGAATTCATTCATGACTACAGGACCATGTTCAACAAAAGAACTGATACCTCTTGTGTTTCAGTGCTGTATCCTACCAAGTTTTTATGTCATACTAAGCAACAAGAAGCACTAAACTCAAAACCAACCTAAAATTCCTACTGCTTTCTTTTTCTTTTATTCTTTTGTTTTTGAGACAAGGTCTCACTGTGTATCTTAGGATGGCTTTACACTCATGACGATCCTCCTGCCTATGCCTCCACAGTAATGGGATTAGTTGTGAGCCACAAGAAAATGACAATTTTAACACTCTTTAAGGGAAGGTCACTAGCTATGTGTGCTCAGCGTGGCCTTGGAGGAGCAGATCTGTAAGGCTGGCCAGGGCCAGCAGTTCAATAGAGTTAGCTTCTTCTATGCCAATAGACTGAACCATGACCCCAACTCGTTACAGAGAAGGTGAGATTTACTCAAAGGAGGGTGTATGTGTTTCTGACACTCTTGGGATTCTCAAAAGCACTAAACATTGTTTTTAATTTTCTGGTACCCTGAACTTGGCTGTTTGGCTAGCATAACAACTGCTCACCCAGCTGCCCAGCACAGGACTATTACCAGTCTGGCCTTAAGGTTTCATTCAGGTTGGCCACTCCAGACTTTCATCTGCATGGCAGTGGATCTAGAAAAACACCTTGATACAGAGCGAGATCAAGAACACGCCACTACCTCAACTGCTCTCACCAACTTACAGTTCGGGAAAAACACAGTCACAAACATGAGAAATGTACTCCACCTCAAACAGGTCTGACAGTGACCTTATCTCCCTAACACTGAGTATCATATCAACACTGAATGTCCACACACATAGACAGAGGAGACAAGAGAACAGACTCTCTTGCAGGCTGTGACAAATGAGGGTTGAAGACACTCAAAGGACCCCAAGAGATGAAGGGAAAGCTTCAGTCATAGTGACAAATCACAACAGTGGTAACTAGATCTAGTCTGAGCTTCTGTGTCATACAGTCACTCTTGGAAGTTAATTCTTTTTATGTTTCTTTTCTTTTCTTTTTTTGAGACAGGGTTTCTCTGTGTAGCCTTGGCTGTCCTGGAGCTCCTGGGCTGTCCTATAACTCAGAAATCCTCCTGCCTCTTCCTCCCAAATGCTGAGATTAAAGGTGTGTGCCACTACTGCCTAGCACTGGAAGTTAATTCTTAAATGAAACTGCAGGAAGACACGTGGAAGGTGAAATAACACAGTGGGAAGACACACTGTGGCTCTGGCTCCCATGCTCTCTTCCTTCTGCACTCCACAAACAGATCCATAGGCCTCTTGTCTTCTCATAGACTTTGAATCAGGAAGCTGAGCTGTATGAGTCCAAATGCTACTTCCTATCTAAGATCCCAAGAATTTTCTCACAATCAAGTGTCTTTCTCTTTGCCTCTGCACCCACTCGTGTGTGTGTGTGTGTGTGTGTGTGTGTGTGTGTGTGTGTGTGTGTGTGTGTTTGCACATGCACAAATGTACATGTGCTTGAGTGTATTAGGGATCAAACACAGAGCCTCACACCTACAGGTAGGTACTCCAGAATTCACCTAAGCTTCAAAATTGCTTTGTTTCATAAAGACCCAGAATGATTAGCTATGCACATCTGCACACGGTTCAGAGTGTACCTTTTGCAGAAGGTACACTAGGGCTACCTAAATGGACAAAGGTTCACATGCAAAGCAGTCTGGCTTCAGACAAGTCACCAAATACCTCTAAGAACCTGACTACAGAAAATTCTGAAAGCAAGTGCACATAAAACCTTAGCAGCTGGGAGCTGCTAAGCAAAAGAGTGATACATCCTTTGTAACAGAGCCAGCTACCACAAGCACCTACTCCTGGGCTTGACTAAGCAGGACAACTGCAGGAACCAAGGTAGCAGGGTCCACAGTGACCAAGGCCCACACCCCATTTATTTTGCGCAATAGCCTAGAGTGGACACAAGATCAAAAGCAGGCTCTAGGCAACTGAGAATGCAGAAGGAACTTTGACCCGGCTCACAGACTTACTCAGAGGGCACAAGGCCAGGTTTCTTTCCAAATCTCTCTTCTATGACTACAAAAGAGAGGCATGGATAGCCAGTATAGGAGATATGCAGGTTCAGGGTTGGGGGTGGGGTGGGGGAGAACTTCCAGCAAAGTGGACAGAGTCAGGCACCAAACACAGCTTTCAGTCCCTGTATTAGAGAACAGTCCCTATACTTTTAGTCCCTGTATTGATGAATCTATGGATTATGCCATCACTGTGATCAATGTTCTCAAGACTTTGAGAACATCTACAGCAGCCTAAGAGTTCTAACCATGCACCACCAAATTGCCAGCAGAATGGGTGTGCCTATGACAGGAACAACCACCCATCTACTAGCATCTACTTCTTTATAACCTTGCACAGGATCTGGCCTAGCTAGGGGTTGGGGACAAATGCTAAGTAACAGCTCTGCTAGGGCTGCATGTGGCAGTGTGCTTAGTTCCTGTTTGCTCATGCTGACTAAATGGGTTTGTAGAATTCTCTACAGATAAAGAATTATTCTAATCACTAAGTTACCATCACAGCCAGCAATACAAACAACTGAATATGAGAGTCAAGCAGCCGCATCGGATGCAGATCCCACCTGGGAGTGAGCTGGTCGGAATAGTGACTTGCTCGGGAGCTGGGCCGCTCAGGCTCTGAATAGCGGTGGTTTTCGGCATAAGCAGATGCTGAGCTGTCATAGGGCCTGTATCGAGGATCATACAGGCCATAGATATCCTGTGGAAAGAAGTTTGGGGGATTGTTAGACTCCATGAAGAGCAGACATTGAGTGGCCAGGACTAGCTCTATGTGTTCCAGATGCTCACTGTCCAAGAGCAGTATGGTGGGTAGGATTCTCTCGTGAAGACAAAGCCTACAGTGCAATCCACATCAACAGGCAGCCAGCAGACTCTCCCTAGAGCCCTTCAGGGCAATCTTCCTCCTGTAGTCTTAAACATGGAGCCCATATGAGCCGAACAACATAAATGTGCATCAGCCACCACCTCCATAAAGCAACAGGACCAGGGATTCACGTGAACGAATCCTAAAACTACCAGTTATTGCTTGTTGTTTTAGAATTTAGGGTTGGAGGTTTTTGGGGTTTTTTTGTTGTTGTTTTGAGACAGAGTTTCATACTTAGCTTAAGCTGGCCTGATATTCACTATGTAGTTTACACTGGCCTCAAACTTGTGGAATCCACCTTTATCAGCCTTCCTAGTCTTAGAATTACAGGCAAGTACCTGGCTTTAATAAAAAATTGTACCTTGCCGGGCGGTGGTGGCACATGCCTTTAGTCCCAACACTTGGGAGGCAGAGGCAGGTGGATCTCTGTGAGTTCAAGGCCAGCCTGGTCTACAGAGTGAGATCCAGGACAGGCACTAAAACTACACAGAGAAAACCTGTCTCAAAAAAACAAAACAAAACAAAAAATTGTATCTTATTCTGATAAGGATTTCAGCCCCATTATAACAAAAACTATGGCCTCTGCCCCATCTCTGAGAAAAGGCCCCAGAGGACATGTGGAGGTCTGAAGAGAGATGAGGTGATATGGGCATGAATCAGAGCTCATCCTCCATGTACAGGTAACGTGGAATCTCATGGGAAATGGTTCTTCTCACTACTAAGGACCACAGCACAGAAGAGCTGAAAGACTTGGGGTTCCCAAGGAGTCTGCAACCTATCTGTGGCTCCACCTACTCAGTAGCCCAAAGTCAGGCCACAAAGCTGAACTCCCTCATACAGAAAAAATAGCTATGGCTCCTCCTTCTAGAATCTATAATTTACTAGTCTTTAGGGCACATATGTAACTGTTCACATATGTATACCTGATGGCACACCAGGCTGACAAGAGGGTATAAACCAGTAGCTATGGCAGCTTCTGACTTAGCTGCTACAAACCTGTTCCTAAGGTTCTTTCTGACCCATCTTCCTGTACAGTGCCAACTGTTCTCAGGCCACACAAGAATTCAACACCACCTGGCCCCAAACACCAGAGGACTTGGGTCTTTCGCCTTTCAGTAACACAATCCACCTATCTTGAGTAATAATGAGTCTGAGCCAGAGGTAAGGAAAAGCTAACAGTGATCAAGCATATTCACAGACAACAGCATTTTAAGCTACTGCAGGATTAAGCAGAACCTAAGCAGCAGCTGTAAGCTTGCACCACTGCAGGAGGAGGCCGGAAGGAATTCAAGGAGCCCCTACTCTGCTCCCACTCTGCAGGGTCACTGGTATCTATGTACCTGAGAGGGTTAGGGTCCCTCACCTCTTTTCATTACTACACATGGATAACCTAACCTTTTCCCTCAAAGATTTTATTCTCAAGGAAGAGTATAAAAGATTCCTAAAGTTATTCCTGTCATTGGTTTCATGAGTTGTTTTTGTTGTTAAAACCATATGAAAGATACCAGCAAACTGGCTGACTTGAGTTTGATCCCTGGAACTCACATGGTGGAAGAAGAAAACCAACTCCTGAAAGTTGTCTTCTGACCTTATGTGTAATGCAGAATGTGTAAGCCCACATGCAAACACATACACACGTACACATGCACACAAATAAGTGTTTTAAAATATATAAAAGAGTTGGATATAGTGGCACACCCTGGTAATTCCAGCACTTGGGAGGTGGAGACAGGAGGTTAAGGACTTCAAGGTCATCCTTAGCTACATAGGAGGCTAGCTAGGGCTAAATGAGGCCTGTCAAAAACAAAAACAAAATCAAAAACACCACATACAGAAGTGAGGCATGCTGAGGGCTGAGGCAGAAGGATTTTAAGTTCACAGCTAATTTGGCCAACACAACGACACGTTGTCTCAAAGCACGACAACAGAAAATTAAAACACACAATCTACCAAAGGCTAACCTATTCCCTAAAGAGGTAAGCACAGCACTGTAACTGCAGCAAGCGCATGAATGCTCTTGGAAACATGGCACTCTTTTTGTTAATGAGATGTTGGATTACACAAAAACTACACTGGTTTTACAAGCAACCCAACATACTCCATCTGACAGGACCCTCTGAAAGGAGACCTTCACTAGTACATGGGGAAGACATTTCTCAGGGGCACTACATGGGTCTGAAGACAGGCTACTCTTGAAACAGCATAAGAGGAGAAAAAGGGGACCAAGTGAGGAAAGAAAGATGGTTAAATGTTAGTGCTCTTACCTGGTAGTATAGAGAGGCCGTCCCAGGATCCGATGGGTATGGTGAAGGGTACTGAGACTGGTAGGCATCATAAAGGGGCCTATAATAGTAGTAGGATGCCAAGTCTTGAGGTGCTGGGCCAAAAGCATTAGGAGGTGGGGGGTGCAGCCATGGCTGCTCTGACCGCACAGCTGCCTGGCTGGAGCTGGTAGATGTAACCGATGCACTGGAGGACTGTGGTGGCTGAGGCAGCAGCTGCTGGCCCATGTTGACTGGAGCTGGACTTGCTGGTGGCTGGGCCAAGCTTTCAGACTGTCCTTGTGTGGGTGGGTTTTCTGGATTTGAAGGCTCTGGACACGCCGCTTGGGGCACTTGTGGGGGAGAATTCTGTGGCTGAGGAGGTACCAGCTCTGTCTGGGCTCTTTCTAGGCTATACTGGTCCTGGGCATCTTTTGTTACCTGCTGGTAGAAATGATCCTGGTTATGCAGCCCAGGCCCAGATTGTCTGGGATGATTGGCAAGAGCCTGTTGAGAAGCTGGGCCATCTGAATGAGATGGGCTATATATTCTCACAGGATTTTCCAAAGTTCTATTTAATGTGAAGTCTAGGGCACCAACAGCTTCTTCCTGATTACTGGAGTGATTTGCCTTATTATTAGATACCAAGGTGCTGTTTGCAGGTGGAACTAGCATCACATTTGTACTTCCAGCAGGGCTATTAACAAACTCAGAAGGACCCTTTTCTGCATTAGGATTCTGACTTTTAGGAAATGAGTTCTTTGGAATTGGAGGGGATAGCCGCTGAACCAACAAACTGGCAGGCTGGCTAGCAATCATTTCAGAAGACCCAGAACCTCGAGGGACACTGTTAGGCAAAGATAAGCCAATGACAGCACTGGTTGAAACTCCAGACAAAGCAGCATGTTCTTCAGGATCACCACTGAGAGCCCGACTGCTGCTCACTATAGATTTCTCCCCCACCACAGCATCTCCCCAGGACTGATTCTTCTCATTAGGATTCAGTAGGGACACAGAAAAATTAATGGGCTGAGCCAAATTATAGCTTTGATCAGGCTGGGCAATCAGGACAGGTTGATTGTGCAAAGATTCAGTGGGTGGCGAGGACAGCAGACTCGCATAACCAGAACTTGCCTGTAATGGAAGGGCCTCCTCTTCTCCTACCTTGGGAGGGTTTTCAAGGTTCTCAGAAGCACCAGGAGGGTCTTGGTTCTGCAAGGGTAGCACAGATCCTGGTTTCCGTGACTGCTGTCCAGACGTTCCCTTTTCTGGATGATGAGTAACTTCTGAAGGTTTTGGTTTTACAGGGACATAAAGTGCAGGGGCAGCAGGGGCTAGAAGGACATTGCCACCAAAATCTGGCAGCTCATTTTGTGCCCACAGAGTTGTTGCTGGGCTCTCACACTTCACAGGCCCCTGGGCCCTGGCCGAGGACCTCTTCTCAGGCACTGGGCGCACAGTATCCAAGGGTGGCCCTGCTGTGTGTGAAGCCAGGTGTCCAGCTTCCCCAGTGGTGCTAAGAGGCAGAGGGCAGGCCTGAGGTGCACACAGTGTCTCCATATTGTCTGGTGGCTGTTCCAGGTTCCCTGGGGTGGCATCAGGTGGTACAGCAGCTGCCCTGCGCTTCTTCTGGCGGTCCCGGGTCCCTCTCACTTCAACCACCATGTTGGCACGATCTGCTTCAACTGGTTTTACTCCAACCAAGTGGGATTTTACTGGTTCAAAAGAACTATTTGCACTTGTCTGGAACACTCCTGTGGGTTTTGGAGGGCTTGGGGTTGAGGGCTGCGACAGGCTGCTGCAGTAATTTTGGCTCCCAGTCAATTCATCTGTCTCACCTCCAACAGGAGAAGAATCAATTTGCTTAAAAAAACTCCCTGAAGTATCATCTTCAAGTTTTCCAACTTCTTGCTGAATGAATGTGCCTACCAATTCTTGGGGTCTGGCTGACCCAGGAGGACTTTTGTGGCTGTGGCTGCTGTAGCTGGATGACACACTGTCAGGTCGTGTAGGATGCAGTGGTATGTCAGGGGCTTCAAGATTTAGCCCCCCACCTCTGGTGAGGCCCACAGTAACAGGTCTTGAGACAGCTGGCCCAGAAAGGGGCCCATGTCGGAACTGATCGCTCAGGGAAGAGGGATCCACATTCAGGGTCTCACGTGGCAAAACTTCTTGATTCTGAACAAATTCTAAGTTCTCAACATTCTCACACTGTGGCCCACTAGCACATTGGGTTCCAGCCCCTGAAGTGTCACCCCATGTATCACTAGCAGGGGTCATAGTGGTCTGTCTGTCATGCCGGATGCCCATAGACTGAGAAAAATAAGGTTGTACATCTCCTTCCTGAGCAGCCTCGCTGCTAGGGCCTTTGAGAAAAGCCTGGTAGACACCACCAGTTCCATGTGCAGGTGGTGGTGGATGGCCCAATCTGGGGGTAGAAGAGAAGCCATCCAAGTCCAATCTGTCATCAAGGCCTGCTTTGTCAGATGAGAGATTCTCCTCATTTTCTGTCTCCTCCCCTTGAAAAAACATTGAGAGAGCTCCAGAGGCTGCATCTTGCAGGGCAGGGTTAGTTGAAGCCTCTGAGGGACCGTGCACCTGGTGTTCAGGGCTATTTCCCTGAGTAAAGGGATTCACGTGGGCAGGATCTAGCAGATGCTCTTTATTCACTCCTGGATTCTGCCTGAACTCTGGGCTTGCCCACATATTCCCAACTCTGGAATTCTGTTCAAAAGTATGTTTAGGGGGGAAGCTACTCAATGAGTGATTTTTACTTTGCTGGTGGACCACTTCGTTCCCTTCACCACTGGCCAAGGATGCTGGAGTAGACATTAGTGGAACATGGGGCTCATGGCCAGGCCCCTGATATAAACTAGATGGAGAGGGGAAATGGGACAAGCTGGTAGCCTGGGGCCCCATGCTCTGGGCAGGTCCCTCCAGGCAGGGTGAGTGATGCTGATAGGAGGGCTGAGGACCTCCCTGCACTGGCCCCCACTGACCTGGCATCTGTGGCTGAGGGAAGAAAGGAGATGCTGCTTGGGCCACAGCACCATCATGTGGGGTGTGCCTATTCGTGGGTTGGTCGGGCCCAGAACCACTGTCATTCAGATGGCTCCCGTGAGGCTGCTCAGGACCCACTCTTGGAATGTAGTGAGGTGGATGTGGCAGCATCTGTACTTCAGGTCCTGAGCTGGAACCACCTTCAGCACTCCTGTTCATCTCCAGCCCAGGCAGCGAAGGGGTAGTTGTAGGGGGAAATGGACTGGTCTCTGCTCTGGGTTGTGACAGAGTTCCTGATAGAGGCTCATGAAGTCCTGTGGAGCTATCCCCAGCATTTGTAGGAGGCACAGGCAAACCAGGCCACTGAGAAAAAGCAGAGAGGCCTGGGCCAGGCAAACTGGGCAGGCTGCTTTTGGATGAACTGCCTACTGGTGAGTTTTGAAGAGTTTGTCTATTAAAAGCAAACGGATCCGTTACTGGCTGTAATGGGCGTGTTATGGGAGCCACTGGTGCATTATTACTGGCTGGCCTCCTGTAAGGGCTGTTGGCCCAGAACATGCTCCGAGGATTCCCAGCTGGGGGTGGTCCAGCCACACCAGACGGGACTGCCTGAGGTGGTGGCTGCATGCTGGAGTCTTTCGTTCAAGGAGATGCTGCTTACAGAGGAGGAAGGTGGAGCTTTTCTTTAATTTGTGCTAAAAAAGAAAACAGAAGAGGAACATAAAATCTATAGATTCACAGTGCTGGCTGAAATCAATGAAAGTATGAAAATAAAAAGACTTAATGTGATTTCAATCATTTAAATACCAAGAACTCCACTTCTTCACATCCCCACCTCACACTGTCAGGGATTAGACAGTCTGACACACACTACCAGATGTTCTTTAGTCCTTGACATTTCTCTAAGCCGCAACTACCACATTCAGAAAGAGTCGACTCCACTACTACTAAGAAAGAAACATGCACAGCATGCTTTTTGTAATGTTAATTTTAAGTCTGGAAAAGAAGAGTTTACATTTCTAAAACACAGTTATAAAGTTACTAAATATGTTTACCCCCCAAGTGAAATGTCTAGGGTTGCCCTCTGAAATGAGTGAAACAAAGTTGCTTCTGACCACTGAAGTTGTAACAAGGTTGAGACTAAAAATCCCAAGAAAAATTACAGCAGCTTTACTGGACTCAAATTTCCAGCAGGCAAATCTCAGAAAAAAAAAAGGGGAGGGGGGGGACCAAGATCCTCACTAGTGTTTTTTTGTTTTTGAACAAGGCACAATTCAAGTCTGGCACCTTGAAAGCCCTTTTCTTTGTGTCAGACCTTCTTCCTGGCACCACCCTCAAGAAAAAATTTGTTTAGCTAATCCACAGAAAAATAAAGCAAAGGCAGTTTAATTCACAGATGTACACTTTGTCCTTGAACATCTTTCTGATACTCAGATTAAAATTTAAAAAAGTCCACCATTTACAAAAGGTCTCTAATCCTTACCTAAATGCTAGTTCTATTAGTCTATTAACTCCTTCCTATGTCAACAGAGAATGCTATCCAACTGACTAGAACCTTGATATAGATTATAATGGAACTTCAATTAGAAGCAATGCCAGGACTTCATTAGGCTCTAACTCCTTGTTTTAAGAAAGAACATTGTTGTTTCACTTCACATGAACCAAAAGTAGAAGGAGAGCTGCTGTTCCATCCCTATTTATCTGACCAGTGGTAGAGCTGCTAGGGACACAATACCATGGATCTGGACCCAGCCTGGACACAAAGACTTCCATGTTCCTCTTGAGACCTGGCTGGCAAGTGTAAAAGGCAGCAGAGGCTGTCCTTCATCTCAAGAATTTCAAACACGCCAAACAATTAAAAACAAACAAACAAAAACTAAACTAAAATACAATACACTGTACAGGGCTGATGCATCATGTGTCAATAGGTTGGGTATACATTGAGCAATTCAGGGCAACCACCTCTCTCTACAACTAGTTTCTAAATCCACAGAATGAAAGAATAAGTTTCTTTTTCCTAAAGTTTCTTCTAAATTTACTCTTTTTTTGACAGGGTTTCTCTGTGTAGCTTTTGCGCCTGTCCTGGAACTCACTCTGTAGCTCTGGCTGGCCTCAAACTCACAGAGATCCGCCTGGCTCTGCCTCCCGAGTGCTGGGATAAAAGGCGTGCGCCACCACTGCCCGGCTAAATTTACTCTTAATAAGATTCTACTCATAGATTCTTCTTTAAAAGACCTAATCCCTATTGCTGCCCCCCCAGAATCTAAATTGCCTAAATTTATACTTTTATTTGTAGAAACTTGAAATTATTTTCTCAATAGTAATAGACCAAGAGCTGTTTTATAAGCTAACATTATCACCTACAAAGAAAATCCCCAGCTCCCATGCCCAGAGCTTTTCACAATTTGCCTGTTTCAGATGGAACAATCTTGTGACTTGAACATTATTCTTTTTGGGGGCAGGTGGGGTGAGACAGAGTTTCTCTTTGTAGCCCTGGCTGTTCTGGAACTTGTTTTGTAGACCAGACTGGTCTTAAACTCACAGAGATCCACCTGCCTCTTCCTCCCAAGTGCTGGGATTAAAGGTGTGTGCCACCATCACCTGGGAAATATTATTCTTTTACTTTTGTTTACTCACCAACAGAAAGATAATGAACTGGCTATCATTTATCTCAGGATTATAGACAACTTTTATTCTGTCCAGTCAGTTATCTACTTTTCAAAAAAGCACCTGTTTCAGAGGAACCTACTGATCTCAAAGATGTATTATTCATAAACCCAGATCTGCAACTCAACTGCCTCATATCTACATACGAGTTTATACAAGACATTCAAAGCATGACTCTGTAACTGAGGTATTTAAAACATATCCCCTCCTCTCACTGCCATTGACTTAACAGCTGTGAGCTTTAAATCACCCAAAAAAACATTAGTGAGTTCCACTCTGCCAACAATCTTCCCAATGGTGACTGCTTGTGATACACTTACCAGACAGACAAGATAAACACCTCTCTTCTAAGTCAAAATTTGAACCTGAACCCTTTAAATGTTGAAGAAAGCATCCACAGAAGAGGAAGGGCTATACACTAAGTGAGAAAGACACACTAGGACACCATGACATTCACAAACAGTAACAAGCAAGACAGGACATCAAACTCTGCACAGCATCTCAGAAAAAAATTTCAAAGGCAATCTGGAGATTCATTCAGGTAAATGCCACCAGGAGTAATGAATCACAAGAAGAGGAACCAATCTCAAGAAGAGGAACCAATCCCTACTTTGCCTCGTATCTGCAAGACATGAGCAGTAAAACCCTAGGAAAAGGTATGTGTAGAAAAAGTGCAATGAGGCAGCACTCTGCTGTAACTTGCAAAAGGACCCGTAGGGACAGTAATCCCTGAGTCTGCTGTTTTTTATTGCCATGTTCAGGATGGAAAACGCCTATAGTTAACACATTTGAAAGGAAATCTCTACCAGTGCATGACCACTCCACAAGCCACTTAAAAATGTAAGCAAAGCAGCCAGAGTTGATTCTACAGGACTTCGTGTCTGAACGCTCCATGGCCATGTTGACATTCTTCTAAACCTTGATAGAAAACAATCCACGACCTCCCTTGAGACATCCTGCTCCGCCGGCTAAGGAATTACAAATAAATGCTGCTACTCCCTTGTTGAAATGAAAATGTGTCCCGTCACCAACTCTGCTGAGGAAGTCTTCGAGCCAACGAGAGTCAAAATCTTCAGAACCCAGCAAAAGTCACACTCGGCAATTTCCTGCACCTTTCTTCGTTTTAAAGAAGTTGCAGGTTTCTTCTGAGGCGTCACGGTCTGGCCAGGCTAACACCTTCCCTAGGGGCTGACCAGTTCCCGCAGTCTAGACCCGGCATCGGCCTCCCCTCAGGCCCGGCAATCGCAGCGCCACCCCCCGCCCCCCGACAACCCACCAAGGCGACACGGCCCGTGGCCTGCCCGGTGTCTCAGCACCAGGCGGCCTGGAACTGCGGTTCTCCCCAGACCTGGCGGCGTCTCTTGAGATGCGCTCGCCACTCCGGGCTAGGCCCGGTGCTCACTGCGCCTACCCGGCCTCCACAGCCTCGGCCGCCCGCGGGCCTCCGCTGTGATCCACACGCTCAGCCCCTCACCCGCGCAGCTGCGGCTGGCCTCTCAGGCGCCGCGGACAGACACCCAGCCGGCGACAGAGGCGGCAGTACGGGGAACTAGCGCGTACTCAGCAGCAGCCGCAGCCATCTTGGCACATCCGGCTCCGGTCGCCGCCGCCGACGTGTCCGACGGCTACGTCAGCGCGCGCCCCGCCCCTGGATCGCCCCGCCTCTCGCCTTCGTCCAGTCTTTCGCTGCCCCACCCCTTGCCCCGCCCCCACTGCCCTGCCCCCTTGGCATTGCTCCGAACTAGTCCGTCAGCGCCTCAATCTCGCCACGCCCCCTTTTGGCTCCAGACCCTCTCTCGTCCTGGTTTTCGCCCCTTCATCCTTTTGTCCCGCCCCTTCCCTTTAGCGCCCCCTTTTCGTCATGCTCCTCTTGACTCCGCCCCTCGTCCTCGGCCAGTCTTTCGCTGCCTCATCCCTCCGTCCCACCTCGTAGGCCACGCCCCTCCGCGTCAGTCCTTTACAGCTCCACCCCCGTGGCCCCGCCCCTCACCCACCTGCGGGGTCCAGAGCGCGGGCCCCGCCTCCCGACGTCGCCCTGGTTACGCCGGTTCTGTCTTGCAGGATTCCTGTTTTAGGATTTGATGAGACAGGAAGAAACAATCTTGAAAGACCGAAGCCAGCAGCTCCACTGAGTCCAAAGCCCCAGCAGGCCCTGCCGCCCTCCCCCTCCCCATTTTTCCGTTGGATCCCCAGGACGCCGGCGGGGTGACTGCGCGTGCGCCACCCTGTTTGTTCAAGGGGCTTGGCTGTCGCTTTCCACGGGTTGTACAAGCGCGTGCGCGGGGCCGCGTTCGTTGCTTGGTTACGGCTTTCACCTGCAGCCAGCAGGGTGCTGTTCGCCCGGCTACCGCCTTTGCCTGGAGCTGGCCAGAGCGCTCACGCCGCCCGGGGGCTTCTGACAGAGGAGAGAGCTGGAGCCTGACGGCTCGGTCCTCTATCCTCCCTCACGACTCCTCCCGATGGGGCGCGGCTTCAAGCCCCGGGCTGAGCGCTGGACCTCTTAGACCAGGGACATTCGCAGGTCAGGCTTGTGTCTGTCGTCTGTCGGTGCAGAGGCTCTCTGGAAAAAGGTGGGTGCTGTCATCTGGGGAGTGACCAGGCCCGGCCCCCTCACCTGTATTCCAGAGGGCACGATGGTGGCGGCGCGCCTGCGAGTCCGCCTGGACAGTGGCGGAACCAGGAGGAGGAGGGAGTGTGGTGGAGCTGGCCTGTGCTCAGCCACGCAAGCAGAGCCGCGAGCTCCGAGGGCCAGTTTCAGCCCTCTTGACGTGGCACTGTGGGTCACTTTGTAAAGCTAACATTTGTCTTCTGAGAGCCAGGTTCCCAACCTCTTTCAACACAAGAGAACACGTGATAAACTCAGTCCTAGGCCCTTAGGGAGACTCAGCAACCCCAGCCCCAGGATGGCTAGAGCTACATAATAGAAAGGACTTGTCTCAAAAAAACCAATAATAAATAATAAAATACTTCTCCATCAGGCTCCCAAGGGTAGGGATGGCTAGAGGGGCAGCTGGGTTGGCTCCTATCTCTCTTCAGCTGTTCTAACTTCCTGTCCTAAGGAGGACAGGACTCGCTGCTTGTAGGCAGGCTGATGTCCTGCAGCCAAGCGAATCCCCGAGTGACACAGACTCCAGTTTAAGGCCCATTCTGCACCCACATGTCCCGATTTGTTGACTATAACCTCTCTGGGCATTGGGAGAGCCGCTGGACAGTGTGAGGACTGGAATAGAGTACTTCTAATGTATATGCTGAGGCAACAGACACAAACTGGGACTGCCTGGGGCAGGCAGGGCACATGGTGACTCCTGGGCTTAGGGGTGCTCCCACCACCTCCATGGGTACTCCTGCTTATGCTTCTTCCCTTTGGGAACGCCTCATGTATTTAGAAGTTTGACACAGTTTCTCCAGCTCCCTGCAGTGCCATGGAGCCAGCATCTGATACAAGCTGTAAGCCATGTCAGAAATTCCCTGCCCTTTCTGTCCCTATGACCAACAGCTGGTGACATTATATTCTCTGTATCTCCACCCAGTCAGCCTCTCCCAGTAGTACTGTGTGGTGTGGTGGCCCCTGGGCGATTACATGTAGCTGGTTCACTCTGGGCTGGGCTGTGAACACGAAATACACTAGATAGGTAAGAATTCACAGTGACTCATTGGTGAGTGTTTATTGCATGTTGAAACAGCAGTACTCTGTATGTTCGATTGAATAAACCCCTTATTAAAAATTATATGTTTTTTAAATGTAGCTAGGAAATATAAAATTCCACATGTGGCTGTGAGTACGTTCTCCATGGAAAGTGCTGGCCTAAATGATGTGTACTTGGCATCCCTAATCTAGGGCTTGAAGCCTCCTTGAGTCAGGAGGCCATGTGGTGCTGGCTCCTTTCTGACACCGAGAAGCTGGGGGCAAGCCTCTGAGGAGTGCTAAAGGAAGAGGTAGCAGCAGTGGTGAAGAGAGGGTAGATCTTGGCCTCAAGCCTCTGTCCCTCACACCTACTGGATAGTTCCAGCATCATGTGTTCTTGGTGGTCTCTGCCTACTCTGTGTGGCAGTGTGCTCAGCCCCTGACTGACCCTTAGCATGGACACAGAACCTGGAGAGGAGAAAGGGTCAGTTTACAGGATCCAGGGCTCCCTGAGTAGTCCCAGCCAAAAGCATGTGAGGGCCACAGGGTAGAAAGAGCTGACTGGGAGGACTTCCTGAAGGAAGAGGGGTGATGGGCTGAGGACGAGAAAGCAGAGACAGTTGTGATTTAGGGTTGTATGTCATTTGTTCCCAGGCCATATAATGTATAGGCTCCTACCAGTGTGTCACCCAGGCTACCATGGCTACCATGTGGCCAATGTGAGGAGAGATCCTTTCTTGAAGGTTAAGGCCCGGCCCCTGAGGGCAATGGTGGGCAACATGAAAGGAGCCTCAGGCCAGCCTCACTTTTTCATGTACCCATAGTACAGGGCTAGCTTGTAGATGAGGCTCCATACCCAGACATTTGTACCTCAGCAGTCCTGCTTTCCATTCATAATGCCGTAGGCACTCTGGGTACTCACTGTGGATGTGAATGAGGGCTGACCTGTGGACCGAAGGTGTCAACCAAAGAAGCCCAGGCCACTGTATTCCTATTCTGGGCTGCTGAGAATGGGGCCTGCAGTCCTTCCTTGCCATAGGAATGGATAACTTTGGGTGCTCACCTGGCTGGTAGAACATAGATAAAATGGCTTGAGCAATTGTTGGGTAGTTGTTATGTCCAACTGGACTGCAAGATTCTAGAAGCCATGGGGGCTGGAGAGATGGCTCAGCGGTTAAGAGCACTGGCTGCTCTTCCAGAGGTCTTGAGTTCAGTTCCCCACGACCACATGGTGGCTCACAACCATTTGTAATGGGATCTGATGCCCTCTTCTGACATGCAGGTATACATGCAGACACAGCACTCATAAAATAAGTAAATCTAAAAATTAAAAAAAAAGTTTAAAAAAAGATTCTAGAAGTTAGAGATTCAAGGGTATTAGACACCTGCATTTCCTCACCTACAAAAATAGATGGTTATCACAACCTGTCCTAGACTTCCTTCCTTGAAGCCTTCTGGAACCATCTTCATGAGTAACAAGGGTTCAGAATCCACAGTAGGTCACTCCCTGGTCCCTTCCAGGTGTGGTACATGTTAACATGTTATGGCTTCACTTTCATGTCTCCAGAGTCCTGCTGTAGGCTTGGCCTATGTTGTGTCTCCTGGGGCGTTCTTAGATCACAGAGCCACCATATAGGGCGATAAGCAAGTAATAGGAACAAAGTGGAAATCCCGAGGCAGGTGTTGACATCACGCTAACCCAGGAGCACAGCTAGAGCAGGAAGATCTCTCGGCTGTGCTGGGGCCCCGAGAAGAGCAGGAAACCTTTCCAGCACCTTGCAAAGATGAGGCCGAGTCCCTGCTGTACTCCAGGCACTGCTGACTGGGATTAGGACAGATGCACCAGCCCTCTGTCCTGGAGGGGGTGTGGACACTAGAAAGCTGCAGATGTGGAGCTGTGTGAGTCACTTGTCAAAGCAGGGCCAGGAGCTCTTTGGGTTGAAGGGACAGTCTGGGTAGAGCTTCTGTATGGCAAGGAAAGGGATCCTTGGGTGTGGCTCTGTAGGCCCATCAAGGGATATTTGTCATGAGATACTATGAATCAAGGTCGGTCCTGGGGGCTTCTCAGCTCAGTTTGACCTGCTCCAGAGGCAGCCTTGGGCATCCCAGGCAAGTGGTGGGCTTTCTGGAGCAAATGTAGAACCCACCCTAGATGAAGCCTCTGGGCAGAGAGTGAGCTTCCTGGCTGCAACTGCTTCTGTAGTCCCCGAGGCAGCACAGCAGTAACGCGTGAATCTGGAACATGGGTGGTGATTTGCATTGCATGGGTGGACTCCCCCCGGAGTCTGGGCAGGGAAGGGACACGGGCCTCGAGAGAGCCAGAGGAACTGCAGTGTACAAAGGGTGCCATGTGCCAAACTGAATGTGGCCAGGGAAACTGGAAAAGTGGCCTGCCAAACTCCTCTTTTTCTCTGAGTCCATTTCTGCTTTTGAAGTGATTGTGCTGGGCAACATGGCTAGATGGATCCCTTACATTCTTTCTGCGGGAGGTGACCTCTCTCATGGGTCTGGGAGTCACTTGGCCCTGGCTCTAGTGAATGAACTGCATGCCTCTTTGAGCTTCGGTTTCCTTGTTTGCAACATGAATCAGATCTTGGGGTGGACACAAATACCATCTGGAGGACATCCTGCTGGCCAGAGGAGCACTGGGGGAATGCTGCCAGCAGAGGGAGGCAGAGAGCCACCTACAAATCTGACCAGCCGTTGAGGGGTCCTCTCAGCCTTCCTCACTTAGGTGCCTGCACCACCCCCCCACCCCACCCCACCCCACACACACAGCAGCCCTCTCTGAGGGAAGTCTTTATTTCTGGATTCCATGAAGGTTGTGGGCTTGCTGAAGAGAGCAGGTGCTGCATAAATGCTCCCTGAGTTGAGCACAGTGGAGTCGTAGAAGGTGATGGATCTCCAAGCTCTGAGTTCAGAAACTCAGTCCTCCACCTTGTGGGAACCAGTAGCAGCGCTGTTAAGATAAAGGAAAGGACCTTGTTCTGTGTCATCCCTTCTACCTAGCCTGCTGTAGCTAAGGTCAGTGACCTTTTTTCTCCCCTTCCCTTTCCAGATTAAGAAGACTGAGTTGGTGGGGGAGTAAATAGATAACTTGGGTCAGGCTTGTTTCTCAGTGCCAACTCCAGTAGAAGGCATGTTTACCCCATTCAGAGGACTCTCGTAAGAAACACAATACAGTGTTAAATATAGAGTTATAGAAATAACACGGTGCTGTAGAGAATGGACCTCACAAGCAGTGGGATCCAAAAACAAGCCATGAGGTCAAAGTTGTGTGAAGGCATCAAACCCTGCACTTTGTGCAACACCCTGGGTGGCATGTGCACATAAAAGCCCAGCAGCACACACTCTTGGCCACTGGAAACCTGGCGTCACCATCTCACCATGAGGATGATGACCAGTGACTATATATGCTGGGTTTGACTGCTCAGGAATGCTCTTAAAATCCATGCTGATGACAACGGCCATGCTGTTTCTGGGTCCGTACCATGACCCAGACAGAGTGCCAGTTCTATGTTTATGGCCAAACCATCTATACTCAGGCCTCAGAGGCCAGCACCTCACACAGGAGGACACTCTAGGGATCTTCTATCCCAAGGCTGCCTGGTAGAACATGAAAACACCAACTATGAGGTTGGTCAGGAACCAGGGTAGAGCCATATCTAATCTTTAAAGTTCAGGTACAGAGGGTAGAGCCACACCATCTTAAGGTGCATATGCAGAGCATAGAGCTACCCCATCTTTAAAGTGCATGTGTAAAGGGTAGCAACCCTGTCCTTGATCTACAAAATAAAGAGGTCCTTTGGAAAGGTTCCACACACCTCTCATTATTATTACTGTTATTATTATTATTATTTTAAATTTATGTGCATTGGTGTTTTGCTTGCATGTTTGTCTGTGTGAGGGTCTTGGATCCCCTGGAACTGGAGTTATTGATAGTTGTGAGCTTCCATATGGGTGCTGGGAATTGAACCTAGTTTCTCTGGAAGAGCAATCAGTGTTCCTAACTACTGAGCCATCTCTCGAGCCCCCACCCCCACCCCCTTTAGAGATCCACAGTATACATAGCAGGTTTGGGAATCCTGTAGTAAAAGAACTCCATTTCCCCTAACTCCTGAGTTTCTCAAGACAACTGGCATTTTTTGGTACCATGCTAAGTAGCACTGTTCAACTATTGTGTCAAAATACCTTTGCAGAAAAATGTACCTTGTGTTATGCCAAGAACCTCTATTGGGACATTTACCAGGAGCACTGTCCCCTCTACCAGAGGCCCTCATGTGCAGCTGAGGATTGGCCTGGTCCACCACAACTTCACAGGGTCTGCAGTCACATGGTAAAAATCATCTCCCCATGGAGCTTCCCTGATGGTAAGGACAAGGCAAGACTGATGGCTGGTTGATTCCAGGAGCTGCAAGAGGATGTCAGCACTCCATCTCTTTTGGTTTCAGGCATAGCCCCACTGCCTTGGCTGGGTTTGTGGCACTGATACCCTTGGGTCCCTCTTTGTACCGGACAGAGCAATGTAGAGCCACAGTTGGGGCCCCCTCTGACAACAAGGGACAAAGCAGTGTGGCAGCCTCTCCTCCTCACCTCCCTTTTTATTTGTTTATTTATAGATAAAGGATCTGGCCTTGAATTCCTAATCCTCCTTCCTGTCTTCACACCCCAAGTGCTCCCAACACTACATCTGGCTCCATGGATTGTTTATCTATGCTGGTGGCAGAGGTTTTGAAGTCTAAATCTGATCTGGGATGACATTCTGAGCCACATGTGGCCCCTGAGCACCTTCAGTGTGGCCAGTCCAGCCCTGGGTTTCAGACACAGTGCAAATAATCATAATACCAGTGAGATGGCTCAGTGGGTAAGGGTGCCTGTTGCCAAGCTGGATGCCCAAGTTCAGTCCCTGGAACCCACATGGTAGAGGGAGAGAACTGGCTCACACTAGTTGTCCCCTGGCCTCCACATGTGTGGCATGTGTGAGTACACACACATATACAAATAAATAAATACATACAAATGATAATAGAATGTGAACTCAGTCTTTTTACTACTTTGCTTATGTTGACTGCTGGTTAAGAGATAACTGTGGCTCCATTGGATGAACCAAGATGTATTATTGAAATAAATTTACATGCTCCTTTGTACTTTTTTGAAGGGTTATGAAGTATTTTAAATGCCATTATATAGCTTCAGTAACATTTCTGTTGGCATGGGCTTCTCTGAATCACTCTGAGAGGCTAAGGAAGCCCTTCTTTTTCAAAAGGATGGGGCCCCACATACCCCAGAACTACACAGGCAGGAGAAGGAAGGACACTTGGGGGTGTGGGGGGCGGAGAAAGGGCTAGTTCTTCAGGGGTGTTTTGGGGGTATTATTGTTTGTTTGTTTGTTTGTTTGTTTGTTTGTTTGTTTTTTGTGTGTGTGTGTGTGTGTGTTATTTTTTTCCCTTTTATTTTTGATTTTTCAAGACAGGGTTCCTCAGTGTAGCCCTGGCTGTTCTGGAACTCACTCTGTAGACCAGGCTGGCCTCAAACTCACAGAGATCCTCCTGCCTCTGCCTCCTGAGTGCTGGGATTAAAGGCCTGTGCCCTACTATTCTCGGATTATTTACATCTGGTTGTTGGTTTTGAAGCGGTCTAGCTGTTTATATAACTCAGGCTGGCCTTGAGCTTGTGGCAGTCCTCCTGTCTCAGCCTCTTGAGTGTTGGGTTCACCATGCCTGCACGTCTCTGCTTATATACTCTGAATGTTGAAAAGTAGGACTTACAAAGTCAAGCCTGGTGGAGCATACCTACAGTCCCAGAATTTGGGAGACTGAGGCAGAAGGATCACAAGTTCCATGCCAGCCAGAGAGACATAGTGACCCTGCCTCAGGCTGCTCTACTTATCACCCAACCCACTACCCTCTTGTAGTATATGTAATAACTATTCTTCTAAAGTAAAAACAAATGAAAACAGTGTCAGATGACAGGTCCCTGGGGAGGGGTGGCATCTCATAATGGGAAAAGGATAGTACCAAGGGGACCCACTGGCCTGTGTCCCTGGGAGGTTTTGGCATCCAAGAGGTGACCTGGGCCTTGAAGTCTTGGATCAGCCTACCCGGGCTGTTGTGTGACAGCCCCACACACTGGTTGGCTCTACAGGAATTCACTGTATCCTGGAGGCTGATGTCTTAGACCGGGTACCACTGGCAGGTGGCCTAAGGCCACTCTTAGCCTGCAGTTACCTCTGCTCCCGTGTCTGTATATGGCCGTCCCTCTGTGTGTGTCTGTGTCACAGAGCTCATTTCCACACATCTGTCTGCTTAGGTTTTGGTCCTGGAACATTTCTGCTGGGGAGTTGGCAGGACACACTGTCCTGTATTCCCCCTAAACAAGGGAGGGCTGAGGCTGGAATACTCCCTCTCCTCTCTGGGCTGTATAGCTGCTGAGTGCCCCATTTAGTCCTTAAAGTGTGTGTGTGTGTGTGTGTGTGTGTGTGTGTGTGTGTGTGTGTGTGCACGCGCGCGTGCGCAAGTGAGTGGGCATGTGTGAGAGGCCAGAGGGTGTCTTTCTCACTCTCTATCTTGGTTTTTTAGTTTGTTTTTGAGACAGAGACTGTTAGCTCTGGGCTGTCCCGGAACTTGCTATGTAGACCAGGCTGGCCTGGAACTCACAGAGATTCATCTTCTTCTGCCTCCCAAATGCTGAGATTAAAAATGTGTGCCACCATGCCCAGCTCCACTCTGTTTTTTGAGGCATGGTCTTTCACTGGACCTAGTGCTCTGCTGGTTGGCTAGGCCAACGGAACTCCAGGGCTCTGTCTTCCTCTCCACCCCAGCACGGGTTACAGATGTGTGGTCATGCCAAGCTTTTATGTGGATGCTGGAGATCCAAACTCAGGTCTTTGTGCTAGTGGAGCAGGAATTTTTACTATCTGAGCTATCGCCCCAGTCCTCATTTTTTGGTTTTTGTTTTTGAGATAGGGTCTCTCTTGAGACCTGGGGCTCACTGATTAGGCAAGGAATCCACCTGTCTCCACACCCACACCACGATGGTCTGCTGAGATTATAGCACCTTACCACACCCAGCTTTTTTATATAGACTCAAACCTAGGTGCTCAGGTTTACACTATAAGCACTTTATTGATGGTTATCTCCCAAGTCAATTTGTTACTTTATTTGGTCCTGGAGATGGAATCTGGAGCCCTGTCATAGTAAACAAATTCTCTACTACTGGGCTACATCCCTAGCCCTTACAATTTTTTTTTTTTACATTTTTGTTTGTTTCTAATGACTTTAGTGGCATATAGGTGCTCCTTAAAAGTACTAAGCTTAGTTGAGTGTGATGGTACACACCTGGAATCCCAACATTTGGGAGACTGAAACAGGAGATGGTGAGTTTGAGGCCGACCTGGGATACCCAGAAAGATCCTGTCATAAAATAAAAGAGAACTTGTTGTGTCCATGGGGACAAACTAAAAGTTCACATGTTGCTGGATTTCTTTGCTAGTTTTAGTAGACTCACAGATTGTGGAATTCTAGCATTGACAGGTCTGGGCCTTCACAGGGCCATGCAGCCTCCAACCTCTTAGACGGTGCTGGAATATCCAGCATGCCAAGTCAAACTTGTAGCCATCAAAGAGTGATAACCATTTCTCCGGCCCCAGGAAAGGCCACTCTGTTTTCTGCCTCTGTGGTTTTAATTACTGAGGACACTTCATAAAAACGGAATCATGTGGTCACTTGTGAGGCTTCTTTCACTGAGCCCAATGTCCTTCTACAGCTCACCCACATTTTAGTAGTTCTTAGAGCTTTGTTTCTTTTAATGGCTGAAAACATTCCACTGAATGTTTATTAGGGTATATACAGAGAAAAATAGACCATAGGGTGCACACAGTTGTGGGGTTGACAAGTTGACACAGGAGACCCAGGCATGTTAATTGGCCCAAGTTCTAGAGATCCAAGAAAAACCAGGCAGTCTTTCAGTGGGAGGTTCCCACAGCAGGCGGGGGTCCCCACTCCCTTGCTCTTTTGTAGACTGGT